CAACAAACTAGTTCAGCAGTTCTATACTCTCATTGCAAATATGTTCCCAAATCGAACTTGCCGATAGTGTTCAGAATTGAGATAGCCGTACTATCTCGGAATGTTAGATGACCTTACGAAGTATGCTAGTTCGGGGCGCCTAAAAGAGCAATGTGTGTTACTGGCCACTGGATTCATGCCACGGCGGGGCCTATAGGAATGAGTGCATTAATTTTGAAGTGGTTGCTCTTGTGGGGGGTTATCTTGACGTTCAGTTTAAGCTGGTGTCTTTTTGCCAAACAGTGAACGGGATAAGAAAACCCCTTTATCGCTCATTACATTTTCCGAAGAGTCCATTACCTCTACGCCGGCGTCATGCGCTCCGTAATGAACAGCATAAGCGCATACATACTGCTATTGAAGTTTAAAGCAAACTAGCGGCCATTAAAATAGTATGTCCTTGCTCATTTTTTATCCTTTAGAGCTTGCAAATACCTCCTGTAGCTCGAGTTCGACTGTGGCATACCCAACGCTCTGGCTAAATTTGGTCTGTACGTTCTAGCACTCTGTTACACCGACTTTTTCTAATGGCTTCAGGCGCCATATCTCGATTTATTCTGTCCCCAGAGGGTCCTACACATTATTCGTTGAAAGGTTAGATTCGCAGTGGAGAGGGGTATAGTATGCAAGCAAAAGAACGATTGTTTTTATTCAGTAGGTGTGGAGAAAACACGATTTAGTGGCAAAAATATGGATGGTCATCAAGGTCTTCCCCATAATTTCTAAGTGCTACTGGACATTCAACCAGCTTGGGGACGAGATTTGGTTACCATGGTTTAACTGAGTAAATCAACATATTCCGATTTTCTTACAAGAGAAGCTGACATCACCGTAGGACTTGATTTCTAGATTTTTTTGGCTGGCTTGGAAAAAGGCTCTCGTTGGAAAACAAAAAAAATCAACCTTACGAGAAATCAACCCTGTTTCACCATGTCATTACTTCAACAATGGGCAAGAACTTTGACGCGGCCGATGGGTAGCCCTTTCATAGCTCGCCCTCTTCTGCAATCAGCTATCCAGCCAGCACTTGTCTCTCCTTCACTCACACTCATGCGCACCATGAAGGTCAGAGCCTCGGTCAAGAAGATATGCGATGGATGCTCAACTGTTAAACGACGTGGAAAAGTTTTTGTCGTCTGCAGCAAGAACAAGAAGCACAAGCAAAGACAAGGATAGATTCCCAATGTTATTCTCCCCTCTCTCGACTAGTTGCATATGCCAACACTTGTAAAGATAAACCGCTAGACCGCTAGACGCATTTTTTTTTCTGTATAATGAAACGTTTATTATTGAACCTACATCGGTCCAACTGCAAGTCTATATCTAGTGTACAAGATTGCGACGATACTCTACATCAGCTTTTTAGATTTTAACAATTGGAATCCAATACCGGTGACTCCAACCACAATAGTGTCGCTGTTGAGAAGAAAAATTAGGAACGTTTAGTACCTGAATGAATTGTGGCACATGGTATGAAAGGTCAATACGTACTTGTGGACAGTGACATCCATAGCGGATGGGTCTGGAACGTCTATGTAATGGGCATCTCCCAACGAGAGTTTAACACCCTGTGTGGTGTCAACATCCCATACATTCAGTCGTTGATCAGTTGATACAGTCAATACACGGCGGTTAACAATATGTACACCTGAATAAGAATTAGTTGAGTTAGGTCAATTTGAATGTGGTATTATGGCGAGAGTTATGTACCTGTAATGGAGGAGGCATGTGCTCCTTCTATCTTGGCTATATCCGCTTTAGCTGTTGCCGATGCAGGAACGTCCTCCCTACTATCATAGCGAATGTCAAGCCAATTGAGAGCAAAGGCATTGTCTTCACCACCTGAAGCCAACCAGAAGCTTCCATCTAGAAAGATTATGTATAAAATTCATGTTATCATTAATATTTCAGAATTTGGTATCAGCTATAGATTGTTTACCTTCTTGTTGCTTGATGTCGATGGCGTTCACACCTGACAGATGTGCTTGGTATGAGTAGAATGGCTCAGGTAGCTTGACAAGTTCTAAGATTGCACCCGCTTTGTAGGATTCTATAAATTGGTTGACAACAGACGTAGCATTCCAGAATGCCAATTTACCGTCCGTTGCACTGGTAATGATTATAATTCCTTGGCCACCAGCATTGTCTTTTGATTCAAGTTAGTTACGTTGATTTTCTTTACAGAGTAAGCGATATGAAAATGTGGAAAGAACGTACCTTCAACAAGTAGATGCTGGATCTGCAGTAAGCATTTCATATGCCAAACACCGTCCGCAATGAGATAAAACTTTTTGGCAACCTCATCAAAGAGCCAGAGCTATGTAAAGAGGGATAAACAAAACGACTCAATAGATTTATAAGGATGGGAACAGCAAAAAAAAACAATTTTCTTACCCTGGTAGTGGAATCAGAGTAGGCGGCAGCCAAAATATGATAACCTCGATGAGCGTCGATACAGAATACAGACGTGTCCATGATACGAGTTTCCTTGATGTCACTATAGTCCAAGCATTATTACCTATACATCAACATCTCCTCGCTCTCTTATTTTATGCAACATACCTGACCAAGGGACTAGCAGCCAATTCTAAGCATGAGATATCAAGAAGGTCTTTCGAAGGATCAAAATCGGATGCCAAAGTTCCCTGTGGTGGATGCGAGTCTAATTTCCAACATCTCAGCTCCTCACTTGCACCGCTGGTGAACAATAGAGTCTCCTTTCCAATTGAGTAGACGATGCTCTTGATGACGGAAGAGTGCTTTCGAACAGTTCGCAGGCTAATGAGGCTACCCTCCAAATCCCCAGGGACATATTGACTTAGTCGCAAAAGTGTATCTTCTCCACCTGTTGCAACAATCATGGGCATGTTTTTGAACTTCTCCTGGCACCCAATTGCCGCACCTAGTCATCAATTATAGTGTTATGTTTATGCCATGAATTTACAAAGACAAAAAACAGTCGTCGTATCTCTCAACTTACCGAGGAAGGTTATAGCACGAACATCCTTGCCATGGAAATTGCTCTGAAAGTATGGAAATGGGGTTACAAAAATTCATTTTCACCATCAAGACTATTCTGCATCCACATACCTGAACACTCGCTTCAAAGGTTTCAGTGCTAGGCATACATTTTCTAAACAACGTATTAACCTAGCGATGTGATTCATTGCAAGTTAGAATGGCTTCAGTGTCAATGGTTGGAAGTTCAATTGGTTCCTACCTTGTTTCTGCGGAAGAAAGCAAACGTGCACTTGGCAAGTTTGCGATCGTCGTTCAAGAAATGCCAAGCACGGTGAGCACCACCACATGCGACTGAAAGCATTTCAAAGCCTTTGGCGACATTGAAAACAAAGAAACGCTTTCTGAAGAAACCAAGGATATAGAGCTCTCCATCCATGTACATGGCTCCTTCTGCCCATCCTTTAGTTACGCGATTTTTGTATACTTTCTCTATAAGGAGAGACTTTCCGTGTGCTTTCTTCTCTTGACCCTCATCTGAGTCATCGTCATCATCCACCAGATCCATTTTGTCAGCGTCAATATCCATATTTGGACCATCTTCGGTAGCTGAAGATGCGATGTTCAAAAGACGATATTCAATAAAGCACCCGTCTCTGCCAGTAGTCAAGACGATTAAACCAGGACTATGCGAAGATGTCTCCGGAAGTGGACGGACGAGTACTGATGACACAGCTTGTCTTCCATGCGTTCTCCTTAACTGAAGAGCAAGTGTGGACAATGTCGGCTGGTCTTCTGCGCTAGCATCCTTATGGATGCCAGGGATTCGATAAATCAATAGTGCTGACTCTCGTGATCCACACAAAAGAAGGCTGTCGTCTTCGGAAATGGTTGCACATATTATCGTTGTTTTGATTTCGGAACGTTGTAGTCGGTGTACCAGTCTAATTTTGGGCTCGTCTATGATCCTCATATCGAATCGAAACAGGTAAAATTCGTCCTCCATACCGATACTAACAATGTAGAAAACACCTTTGTCTGAGAAACACAAACGATTTAGAACAAGTAAATTGTAAAAGTCAAAAGCCAAGACATGTACCTTTCGATTCAAATATAAAGACACTCAGAACCTTGGAGTTGTGTACCTTCAGCTTGAGCGGCTATATTGAAGATATCATAAGATTAGGATTCCAAGCGATACTTAAATATTGATCCATTTATCTTACAGTAAAAGCAGAGTAGGCGTGACAAATAGACAAGTGCCCTTGTAAACCACCGGATACAACGAATTGACCTTCTCGACAAGCTTCCATAACAGCATAATTCTGGAAATCATCATCTTGATATAGTGCCGTCCATTTTTGATCATCATTGTCATACCGAAGGAGAAAGCTATTTTATGTCAGTATAAACAGAGGCTTCATGATTTTGATGAAAGTGAACATACCCTTGGTTTGTAAAGGTGGCAATTACATCGTAATCGACTATGACGAAGTTTCGCATGAATTCGTTGGCATCTTCCAATTGAGGCGCATAGCTCTCCAGCTCCGGTAGGTCGATAGCAGTCAAGTCCGATTCAGATTCTACTCAGGTCTACTGTTAAGACGACGCATTCATGCTTATAGATTATGGAGAAAAGCAGATATACACTTACCGATATGGTTCTCTTGAATCGCTTTCAGTGACCATAAGCGTACACCAGAGTCCTGTCCACCTGTGGCAACAAGTCTCTTGTTTGGACTTACGGCACAACTCCAAACGTTTTTACCAGCATGACCTTCCCAGCAGGCAAGGCAGTCCATTGCACTATCAGATTGCTCATCTTCCTCCTGTAGATAAGGATTATTCCACACTCTACATGTTGTATCCTGAATAGAGACGGATACATTTGAGCCATTTGAATTCAAATTGTCTTCGTAACCAATCTGGCCAGCATATTACCTCAGAGACGCTGACAAGATATTGGTCCACCATAATACAATCCCAAATTCTAGCAGTATGACCAAAAATGACATGGTACTTTCTGCAATGACAAGATTGTTAATAAAGATATAAAGCGAACTTTAAATCAATGTAATCACATTTACCTCTTTTGGTCTTTAAGACCCCACACTCGAATTGTACGGTCGTCCGATACGCTTACAAGTAACGATCCATCATCACTGAACCTGATTCCAAATATAACACCGTCATGACCAACTAATCGATGTTGTACTGGAGCAAACCCTTCCTCATTCTTGTCAGAGACCTTCCATACGTGGACTTCATTGAAAACCGTTCCTGATCCAAGGTACAAAGTTGATAGCGTGTTTCCGAAAAACCGTGCTGAATACCTTTTGAATAAGAAGTTTAATAAATTGATTAGAAGAGTCTGAGATCTGTCCAGCAGGGTAAGCAAGACTTACAGGATGCATTGTTCTTCGCATTGAACTCGAAATACTCTGGAGGGCCTTTCAGCAGTTATGTCGTAAACTTCAACAAAGTTGTGCGCAAAGGCCATGGCAATTTTTGTTGCCTCCACACCACTTTCATCATCCTTGATTTGACATTAATTATTGCTGGCTGTTTTTCGTGCTAAATGTGATCTGCAAATCATAGCGATGCTTACCTCATATAACCATTGGACATCCTGAATCCAATCCGTGAAGGGTCCATACTGCTGAACTTGCCTAATCACAACCTCTGTTTTCTGATTATCGTTTCCTTCAGCATGGTGCGAACTTTGATCTGTTAATTGTGAGCTGCTTCCGATGTTGTATTCAATTGTCAAGACAGCGAGAGTTTTTGCTCCATAAGCCAGAATCTTTCTTCGCTGAGCATACGTTCCTTCATCATTTACGCCTCTTGGTTCTATTGGGTTGAACAATGATATCTGTCAGTTACTCTAAATAGTTGAACTTATTAACAAAAGTATCACTTTTATTTTTTACCTAAGACAAGACGGTGAATTCGGTTTGCCGGCAAAACAAGAGATTTCGCTAAAAGTTCGCCATTGCGTACGTCAAAAGCTTTCAACCAAGGACCTTGACCGACAAGTAGTATAGAGTCGGTTAAAAAGGCCATGCTGGTGACCAGCCCTGCAAACACATCCTTCTCTAGATTCATTGTGAAGCTGGCTTGATACAATTGAACTCCAGCTTTGAGATTTTTGGTACTGTATTGAGTGGCTTGTGTGAGCTTCGAGACTGCTTCCTGGTAAGAGGAGAAAGGTGAGCTCGATACACCCTTGTCTTTTATACCATCACCCTCACCATCGCACAAAGTATAGCTAGGACCATAGATGCCAGCTTATTACTATGCTCTTTTCTTCCTTCTAATTTTTAGTAGGGTTGAAGGTATAGTACGACAATACTATATTGCAGCGGTGGAAGTCGATTGGGACTACGCTCCAGCTCATTTCGACAAGTACAACGACAAACCATTAGCTGACACAATAGCTGCAAACTTCACTGTTCGGACGAAAGATAGAATAGGTTCAACATACAGAAAAGCTGTATACAAAAGGTACACAGATGACACTTTTTCCAATGTCATCACCTCGGACCCCTCGTTCGGCTTTCTCGGGCCTATAATTCGAGGCGAAATGGGAGATCAAATTCGGATAAACTTTTACAACAATGCAAGCAAGCCTTTTAATTTGCACCCATATCCTTCAAAAGGCAAAAGCGACATCAAAACCTCTGATCCTGTCCAACCAGGCGATCGATATATTTACGTCTGGGATGTACCTACAGTAAGCGGTGAGGCTATAGGCAACTTCTCATCTACTCTATGGACGTACCAGTCTTTGGTAGACCCTCAGCACGACCTTCAGACTGGCCTCATAGGACCTTTGGTTGTCTATAAAAAGGGCATGCTTATGGATGATTATCTTTCCCGACCAGAATCGATTGACCGAGAAATTTTCACCATCATGATGATTACAGACGAAAACATCTCTCAGTACATTTCCGAGTCAGCAAAAGCTGCCAATATACCAGACCAGCGACTGAAAGAACTCCTAAAGAACAACGATTTCATAGAATCCAACAAAATGTACCATGTCAATGGGTTTGTGTTCAATAATAACCCTGGCATACATTTACCACTGGGATCAAAAGTGCGGTGGTACGTGATAGCCTTCGGTCTCAACGAAAAAGATCACCATACAGCCCACTGGCATGGCGGCACACTACTTAAAGGAGGACACCGAGTGGATGTGGTAGACTTGCCTTCGTCGTCATTCGAAGTTCTAGATATGGTACCTGATAACCCTGGTCAATGGTTATTTCATTGCCATGTCGCCAATCATCTTATGAACGGCATGTCAGCATTTTATCAAGTTGATGAACCAGAAACTGGCGACAGCGAAGGAGGATAGCTATATACCATCGCGCGTTTCTTTAAATAGATATTTATATGTAGAATAATGTAGTACGGATAGAGAATACCAATTGTAAATACCAGTAAACGTTGACAAATAAACACCTGTTTTTCTATTATTTTACAGCACGGCTGGTGGCTGCTTACCGGCAGTTAAGATATAGATGCTGTCTGTCTCTTTCAAGATGAGAGATGGGACGGGATTGGTATATACGAATGGCAAATCGTTGCCAAAATTGATATCGGGAGCGCGAAGGATACCAATTGGTATTACACCTTGTCTGAGCAGTAGAGATTCAAACAGTTCAGCAAAGGACTTGTTCACATACTCATCGGGAATCTGTATGCTGGCTAGATAAGGTGCAAATTGACTGTTTTCTGAGGACCATTCTCCCATGCCGCACAAGGTTTTGATGATAGCAACAATGTCTGGTTGATAATATACTTGGCTTAGCAGAACATGGCTCAAAAGGTTTTCCACTACCACGTCGCCTGCAGCGAATGCCGAGGAATCAACCACATCGAAGCTTAGGTCACGCTCTTGTAGCAAATGCATATAGCGAATGTTGGATTTCTCAATGAGATTAACGATATTGTAGGAGGATGGTTGTCGAGGCTGGAGTAAAAGGTCAACGACATGGCTTGTCATACTAGATATATTATGACATTAGATACGCATGGTTATTTAAACACTGAACAATTGAATGTGGCAATAAATGGTATGCTTACATCGCTGCACTGTCTGGATTGGCCTCGTGTTGTTCGGGTATTTCGTTTTCACTCATAATCACTACTTGGCGTGCCCACTTTACTCCGGCCCTAAGCAGGTCGTCTGGGTGTCGACAGTTTCCCTAACATACTGGTTAGATATACAATTATGCAGCTGGTAAGCGAAAAAATGGCACTTACGATCATAAAATATACACGTGGAAAGATATTGATCAATTCATAGACCCTTGAGCGAGGTCGGCTTTGACATAGCAAAACAATATCCTGAAGTTCATTTCTTGGAATATTGGGTGCACGCAAGTTTTGAATGAAGCGGAATAGGTTAGGAACTTCTCTATGCAAACAAACCACAATGTGAGATCGCATGTTTTCTGCATTACTGATAAGCATATCTTCAAATCGTGAAGGAGTTTCCAGCATGTAGCACGATAGAGTCTGGGAATCACGCATCGCTGACGATCCCGATTGAGCGTCCGTTTCAAATGCAATAGACGATAGGCGTTTGCAGGTTAACAATGAGTGTTTTCTTGAGGTCAGCTTTCCCACTCTAAAAGCTTGCTTTTTCACGGACTCAGTGGAAGTTGAAGGCGTTGATGGCGTTGACGATACGAGTGGGGGTCCTAAAGTAGGACCATTCGGCATTGCATGCTCTAAACCTTTGATAGTTTCGTTGACAAATTCAGCAGACTACATCGAAGAAAAACAATTATTATCGCAAATCAGGTCATCATCACCAGGCAATTTTAGTTGACAAATTGACTTACCAGCTGGTTGACATCTCGAACTTCTTTGATACTTTCCGCAATGTATACGCATAAATCATTTTCTCGGATGACATGCTTTCCAGGATTTAAAATGACCTCGTATGACCCTGTTATGATATCAAGGGTTTTAATAGCAAAAAGAATAACTTGGCATTCTTTGAACAGTAACCAAGTAGCCCTTGTAAATGGAAGACCGACAATAGCGTCAGCTGGAGCTGCAGTATAAATCTCATTACTGGCTCCGTCGTCAAACTGTGCTTGCCATGGTTCATCGTATTCGTTGAATGGTTGCCTCTGGTGAAGGAGGTTGGTGATCAGAGTGGACGCTCCCCTGCAACGCACGTTAAGAGCAAGAAGATAGTGTTTGAATTCCCGAACGCAAATTACTTCGGTTGCAACTTTTTGATAGAGACCCGTCGATGGCGACAGATTACATGAATATATTGGTATGTTGTGATCAGCGGTATAACAGTACAATGACCACAATCGCGTTGTATTTCGTTCGTCTTCCTTGAGAGGATCAAGAGCTTTTCGATCTTTACCGATAAAATGTAAAATTTATAACTTATAACTTAGATTGAAGGGCATCATTATTGCTGAATTCATTAAATGGGGCAATTACCTGAAACAGTAAAGATAGCCTTTGCATATCTTGCTTGCTGTGAACATGAAGCAATAGAGATGAGTGCGAGGTGAAATCGGCATGTCCGCTTTAAATCATACATACAGCCCGCCTAAGGTCTTTTTCGCTCTGGGGTTTTTTTAGAACGCTGTTAGTGATACGTTTTCCATCGGTATTCTGACTGCCTTAAACCCACCATTGCAGAACCACAGAGGAAACGTGCTCGATGTCCCCACATAGAATTTCTCTCCATGGCTTTGAGCTCGTCCGTTGGAGGTCGAGTATCAAGGAAAACAACGTTTATATGAGTATCACCCTGGTTTCAAGAGATTAGTGGTTCATGCAAGCGAATCTATTTCACTAGTTGTGTTTCATTACCATGCCAAAGAAGCCATCCAGGATATCTGCTGCTTGCTCAGCAGTAAAAGTACCAACCAGAAGAATAAATGGATAACCACCAGGAACAAAGTGTCCACCACCAGCTTTTCAAATGATTAATAAGGCAAACTATTACTCCCGCTTCCAGAACAGAAATGTCCATTACCTTGTTGTTTATAGATGGTGTCCACAACACCGGTGATCAAACTAGGAAGAACTGCGACAGAGCAAAGAATCAACAGCACAATGACTATTCGACCAGCCTCCGTTTGTGGGGTAATATCTTCATTTGGCATTTAAATTAGCCAAAACCCTTGAACATTTCTAGGATAAATGAAATGGGGCTCTCTATACATACCTCCGAAACCGACCGTTGACATAACCACCATGACAAAGTATCTGATCATTGGTTACCCTATTTGAGCATCAAGATGAAATACACTCATAATCCAACCACTTACAAAGTGTCCACAAGCGACAGGTCTTGGTTACCAAATGTTACCTCAACGTACCGGAAAGCCGATACGCCATTGAAAATCAAGACAAGTAGAGTGCAAACCAATTGAATCAATTTGCCCTTGACAGGATTAAATGGTTTGTCTGAGGGAATGTTCGCTGAGTACATCAGATTCATGGAGAGCTTCTATAATTGATACTGTCCAACTAACCTGTCATTTGAAGATTCATCCTTATATTCATCGCACTTTTGATGCGTAGAATAAGGACCCAACTTCTCAAAAAATAGGGTACTTCGCATAGAGAACAACTTAGTTTCCTCACTTCAGTAACTTTCCCATAATCTGTCTACTTACTGTAAAGATATTGACCATTCTCTATGAACATTGATATAACAAACGGAAGCGTAGTTGACACTTCGATCACAGATCTTGCGCTGAATACCACGTGCCATCTATCACCGGCTAAGAGTACACCTAAAAAAAGCATATTAAACTTAATGACATATCACCATTTCATATAACAGATGTTCGATAGCTTACGCATTAAAAAACTTCCAATATCCCAAAAACTCAAGAATTGACAAAAGATCCTGAGTAAAAAATGAGTTAATGACACCCTTTGCTGCTAAAGTTCATACAGCATACTCGCATACCATAGATCCCATGCTCTATATTTGTACAACCACGGTGGTGGTATACCAACATCCTTCTCTTGTTTCAGTTCCACTAGATAAGCCGTACAAAACATGATGTCCACCAATAAATCAAGGTATACCTTTAGACAACAAGCCAATATGGGATGAGTAGATGCAGGTTAAAATAGAAACTCCTTGTCCCCCCCCCCCAAAACTTACAAAAAGGACTATAGCATTCTTCGCAAAAAGTACCCTCTTGAGTGGTCGAGCGTAATCGTTGAAAAATATCCTAGCACGATCGTACAAGCTTCGTGTGTCCAGTTTTCCATCTCTACCGGCCTATGTCAGCATGATTGGCGCCAGTCGGAGTTGAGACAAAAAATTCATTACCTTGCTTTCTTGCGACTAAAGCGATATTTAGAGCGGACTGTGCTGAGGTTAACTTGATGAGATTTCCGAAGAAGCATTTGTTCTAAAGATCGCTTTATGTTCATCGATGCCTTTACTTCCTCGGCTCTAAATGAACGGACCACATGATGAGGTGTTATTGCTGCATATGAGGCAATTTTTACATCTCGTAAGAGCTTGTCTTACCTTGGGTCTAGAGCTGGAAGCACTAGATTGGGCGTGTCCAAGTGTCTTGAATTGATAAAGCTTGATAATGCTGATAACGGCGGTCTCTTGTGACGAGATGAATTTCCATAAGGCTCGTAGTCCTCGCTGTCCGAGCCTGCCCGAGATGAGTAGCCCGACGGTACTTGTCTCCATGAGCGCTTTGCGGACTTGCGCGATGCAGCAGACGAGTGAATTCCGTATGTCTGTTTCGGGTCTCCCATAAGAGAACGTTCTTCGTCTGCAGATTCCGGCATGGTTGAAAGGCTAAGAAACGTCGACAAGCCGTCTGAACCTTCGCTTTTGACAATTAATGTGACGGCGAATTTTACCTTTCTAGGCCGTCAGGACGTTACAGCCAACGTTGGCACTCTGCCATGCTTAAATTCACAAGACAAGCAATCGTAACAAATGCGTTGAAAGGAGTACGATTCAATAGCTCTGTAGCAACTGCTGCAATACCGCTCACGGCCAAAGTAAGAAGTTGTGAAACCGCCAGTATCGAGTCTCTGTTATCAGAATAACTAATCCGCAGTCCAGCATAAGATTGAAGCCATTGACACGGAACGGCCATTCTCAAACTTTCTAACAGATACCTTTGATCGTCAGCATACCTATCTTCGCATATCCATAACAGAGAAATGCAATCTACGATGTAAGTTTTTCAATTTCGATGTTGCAGCCTGATGTGCAGATCCAGGAGATCTCACCCCACCCACCTTGTTTAAGGTACATACTGTATGCCCGCTGAGGGTATTCAATTATCATCAAGCGATGAACTTCTTACAACTGAGGAAATATTGAGACTTGCCCGTTTGTTCGTATCTCAAGGCATTACTAAGATTCGCTTGACTGGCGGCGAACCAACCGTTCGGCCCGATATCATACAACTGGTCCAAGGCATAGGCGAACTAAAAAATCATGGACTTCAGCATCTAGGAATGACTTCAAATGGAATTGCGTTAAAAAGAAAACTTCCTAGCCTTGTCGATGCGGGAATGGATTCACTCAATGTCAGTCTGGACACCTTGGACAAAGACATGTTTGAGATTATCACTCGGCGGAAGGGATATGAGCGGGTGTTGGAATCTGTACACCAAGCTCTGGAGCTTGGTATGCCGTCTGTCAAGATCAACTGCGTCGTTATTCGAGGAACAAATGACCGTGAAGTGTCCAACTTCGTTGCCTTAACCAAGAATCTTCCTATTACTGTCAGGTTTATCGAATATATGCCTTTCGATGGTGAGTCATTTCACCCGCTTATTAAGCAGGCCAACACCATTCCATGATATTAATCTATTGTTAGGCAATCGATGGAACGCGGATAAGCTGGTGCCATACAAGGATTTGATAAGAGATATAGAGGGAAGATATGGAAGACTTCAAAAGGTCTCGGATGACCCAAACGATACCACCAAAGCGTTTCGAGTACCTGGGTATGCTGGAAAGGTTGGATTTATTACCTCCATGTCCGACCACTTCTGTGGTACATGCAACCGCTTACGCATCACCACCGATGGTAATCTCAAAGTGTGTTTATTTGGAGCGGCTGAAGTGTCATTACGAGATTATATGCGACAATCCGTCAGCGACGAGGACTTGTGCGATATCATTGGCATGGCTGTCAAGAAAAAGAAGAAACAACATGCAGGTATGTTTGAACTTGCAGCTCAAAAGAACCGCCCAATGATCCTTATTGGAGGATAATGGCCAGCTGGAGCTGCGCCAATGCCATAAAAATTGATCTGTACAGCTACCGCCCTTTGTTTACCACATCTGCAATATATTACCATTATAACTCATTTACTGTATCGTTTCCCTCTTTTTCATGTTATGCTACAAATGTTATCATCGCTGCTGTATCTAGTACAATATCATCGCTATAGACGGCCACCCGGCTTTTTATCTCTTGTACCCGGAAAGTCTACATTTTTGAAAGATCAAGCAAGGTTTTATTCTACTGATAAAACTCCAAAACTCACTCACACTGACGCCAACACCGGCAAAGCCAAAATGGTATCAGTCACCAGCAAGGATGTGACTCATCGAACTGCACAGGCTGAAGGTAGCATCTTGCTACCGGAAACAACATTCAATTTACTCAGCGAAACCACTGTCATGAAAAAAGGCGACGTTTTGACAGTGGCTCAAATTGCCGGTATACAAGCAGCTAAGCAGACCAGCATGTTGATACCGCTCTGTCACCCACTTTTACTGTCCAATATTCAAGTTCAACTGAGACTAAACACCGAAAAGCAAAGCGTCGATTGTACGTCTCTTGTTGAATGCCGAGGAAACACTGGAGTGGAAATGGAAGCTCTGACTGCAGTCAACGTTGCTTTATTAACAGTATATGATATGTGCAAAGCAGCTGGCCATGGCATGGAAATCACTGGTATCAAGGTCAAAGCTAAGACTGGAGGCAAATCTGATTTCCACGTGATGTGACTGTGATGGCAATGAAATTTCAATAATAAAAGGCTTTGTTTTTTTTTTCTCTTTCTCAACATAACGGGAACTTGTTTAGAGTCGTAGCGGGTGCTTTACCCTGTGCGCTGTGCTGCGCTACTTGCTCCCAAGATAGATCCATCCAGCATTTATGTTGGCGTGCGTCCGTTTTCCGTTGACCGTGTTATTTCATTTCGGTGAACTATGGACCGATGTTCAAACATTCTGGTTTCTCTTCAACAACTTTATATAATACAAAGCGAAAATAAAAAGTAAAATGAATCCAAAAAATAAGGAGGGAAAATGAAAAACAAAGCAAAAAACGAGCAAATGTATTTTTACAGTATCTATTCCTCTAAGGTTTCCCAATTTTCAACTGGCTCATCTGCGCTCGTAGCAGCAGAAGATGGGCTCTGCAGTACAGCAGGCGAAACGTACATACCGGCAATATCGCTTACATCATTCCACAAGCTGCCAGTGGGTCGAACGTTACGCTTAACTGTTGTCCATCCATCTTCGTCTTCAGTTTCTGTGACGATTTCAGACGACTCTTGTAGGGCGCCATACGTATTTTCAACTTGAACCGGAGTAAGTTTGTGGTCGCTTTCCTTAGCAGCGATAGCATCTTTAGCCTTTTCGTAAGGACTTTTACCGCCAGGCCAGACTATTTCGCCATGTCGGTTGACCCAACAGCAATCCACATGAGCAGCCACGCCTTGTTGTATCAGGGTTGTGCGAAGTTCTTTACGCATTTGTAGCAGGAAAGTCTCTACTTCTTCCAAAGACATGCTACCAGTGTAGGGCATGGCAACAGCATCAGTGTCCAACCACTTTGATACGAATTTAATGGAGCCAAAAGCATGTTCCAGGTGCTTATCGAGGTCTTCTTTCACTAGTCCGAACCCAAGCTCTGCAAGGTATATCGCATTAATAGCAGGCTTGAATGGCTTGCGAAGTTGCTCAATGGCAATGGGTGGAATAGTGTTGGTAACACTGGCTAGTGACCCGGCAGGTTTGCGTTTCTGATAGGCAGCTATGGATATTGGGTTTTTCGGTATGCGACCATCGCCTTGCGCCTTAGAAACGATCACGCTACGATATGGCTCAGGGTCTATGCCTTCTGACTTGAGACCATAAACTTCACACATTTCATGAACAAACTTGCGTTGAGGAGGCTTCATGGGTTTGAAGTTTAGGTTACGCTTCTTGTCGTCCTGTACAAATTCATCCAGTTGTGTCACTATTCCGCGACACCAAGTTGGGTTGCTTATATAGAAATTTCGCGTGTCTTCGGGGTAGTCGACTGTTTCTGACTCTTCGGGATTTGCAGACCGATTGATTTCAAGTGCTGCGGCTAGTCTACGGTTTCGGTCGTTGCGAGCGCAGTAATCGTTGCATGCTAATACTCGTTTAGAGCCACTGGAAGCGGCTGTAGCATTGCATGCAACTTCGAGCTTTTGAAGCCCACATTCACACGTCGCGATGACCTTGGCAGAACATTTTTTCTCTTCTGGACACTTGTTTGGAGCATGGCATTTCTCCTCACACGCGTGGCCGCACTTCTTGATTTTTCCACATTGTTGCTTACAGTGATCTCCATCAGCTAAGCAAGGGTCCTTGTGACAGACGCGACGGCATAAGTGTCCACAGGGTAGTGGGGATGCGCAAACCGTACCGCAGCTTGGAGCTTCTCTAAAACAAGGAATATTCTTCAAAAGAGACTTTCCGCACATGCACCTTCGCTCTATCAGTACCGAGCATGGTGGACAAGGTTCACTATCTTGGTGACAGTTATGATTCAATAGACGGACATGTCCACAAGCACTGGGTCGAACACATGGAGCCGGACAAGGTGGTAATGTAGTACCACAACGAACAGGAGGATCCAGTTTTGTTCTTCCGCAGTGGCAGCTAACCTCAGTCCATTCCGCCTCTGCAAAACACATTCATGGTTAGACAATTATTTACGGACAGCTGTTGCAATTTCTTGCAAAGTCACTTACCCATGCAAGGCGGACAACGACCTTTATGGCATGGAAGTTTGCATGTATGTTGACCACACTTCAATTTCCGATCGCACATCAAGTCGCATTCATGCACACCAGCGCTGCTGCTTTCACCTTTGGTAATAGGAGCTTTCTTCTTCCCACTGCTCTTTGTGTAGTTAGCGTCAGGACAGCACTTGTTTGTACAGTGATGTCTTCCGCAAGTTTTCAACGAACCACAAATACGGTCGCAATGTGGTACTTCGCCGCCCGCGGCCTCCACAACCGTGTGACAAATATTTTCAAACTTGGACGATCCACATCGGCAAGACACTTTCACAGTTTGGCGACAAGGCGGGCAATCACCCAGGTGGCACACCTGTCGACAGTTGTGACCACATGATAACGGCTTGAAGCAAACCTTCTTGCAGATCGGAATGGGATCGGTACATGACGTACGCGAGCCTTCTTCGAGAGTTGATGAACCACAAGGACAGGTTGTTACCACTGAAGGGTCGAAGGGACAGGTTGGTGGTGTGGTCTCCAAAGGATGACAGACTTTGGAGCAAGTATGTTTTTGGCATGCGAAAGGACTATTAAAGAGTAATTGTCAGCACAGTCATACATTAACCAGATGATAGCTATGCTTTCAAATGTACTCACTGATTACATGTTCTCTTGCAGCTGTAGTACCCAAGCTGGCCATTACTTTCAACTGGGTTGCCACTTCCACATTTCGCTGTCCTTTCGTGTTTACCACAGTAACACGTTTGGACTTCTTCTACATCACAAGGAGGACATAGACCGGCGTGACACTCGCTTTTGCAAGAATGTTTGCCGCATCCCAAAAGCTCTCCGCAAATCCGTCCACAAGAGCGGCCCAACGAAGAGTAGTCGGTGTCAACGCACCGTGTTTGGTAAGTTTCGCTTCCACAGAAACAAGACGTCGCCGGTGACATCGCACTACAAGGTGGACAAGGTCCAGGGTGACATGGACTGTATAGGAGTGAGCATTAGATAAGAAGCACATAGGTTATTGCATCCAGGTTAAGCTGGACTTACAGCACACATTCATGAGGGCAATCTCTTTTACTGCCACAAAGCTGTCCACAACTGTGAGGCGTGCTATACTTGTTGTATTCTGGATTCAGAGTCTTTCCACAGAAGCATACATAATCTTTGGGTATCACCGTCCTAGTGTACTGACAACCTGGGCATCTCCAGTTCTTGACAGGTAGATTACTTGTTGCCTCTATTATTATTATATGTATGGTTAAAATGGCGCCCTCAACAATAACATAATGCTTACACAGAGCCCAAGAAAAAGCAACACATACCATGTAAGGATTTAGTGGCCCAGGTTTGAACGCACCCCAAATGAAATACTGCCCAACAGCAATCGCAACTCCAGGTTTGATGCCCAGGCCGAACAATATCCCAGCAGATCATACAATCATATGTTGATGTCGTCAATCCGTGCGTTAGCGAAGTCAACAAATCCTTGATTTCGTCCTCCTTAAGTTGACTGATACGACTGTTTTGATTACGAGATCGGCGCGTGTTATTTCGCTTCTTGGAAACCGCAGCCGGGTTGCTGCTGCTGGGTAAGTTATTAACTACAGGAACATCTGCTTTTTCGCTCGTAAGCTGAGCTTGTGCGCGATTCTTGTTGAAGCGACTTTTGGGTGTGCGGGGAGTAAGGTGGTCTACGATGGCTGGAGCAGCCTCGGACGCTTCCTCTGGCTTGGAATCAACGCCATTGGTTTTGGCATTGTCCTCGGTCTTTTTATTTCCTCCCTTTCTTCTTCTTCGACTTGGTTTTTTCGAAGGCGCACTGGATGATGCCTGATCGTCAACAGATGTACCGGACTGATCAGGTTTTGTTGGCTGTGATCCTTCGCCATTTATAATTCCGTCTTGAGGCTTTTGGCGTGGTCTGTGCCGTCTTCTTGGTTTGGTCTTGTTTGCCTGAACGGCAGCTGTTGGTTCAACAGCGGCTGGCTTACGTTCATGGTCGTGATTCTCGCTCATACACCTGTTAGTAAGGAAAGTGCATAAGGGTCAGCCGAGCACTTTAAAGGCATCCGAAAAAAGCAGTCTCGGCCGAATCGACTGCGGTAAGTTGGATGCCGCAGCCCATTTTCCTGTCTGAAAGAAACTTGCCTCTTTTAGCGGATGATCCGTAGCAAATTGCTTCACAGCACTGAATCACCTTATAAATGATCAGCACAACATAACAATGTATGGGAAAATGTAACCTTGAGCACAAGTTGGAAAAATGGCATATAGCCTGCCGGTAGATCACCAAGCGCTGAGAACAAAGTTTCCACAAGTTATGACTCTCTGTAGTTAACTTGACCACACAAAAGTGAGAAATCTGCTTGACACAAGCCGGCATCATTTCTCATTCCTTCGTACACAATTTTTTGGCCTTTTTACTTTGCAGCACTACTATGGATGCCATGATGCTCAAAAGGCAGACCTCTAGCGCATTGCTTGTAATCCTCATATTTGAAATGAATAGAGTCTGGACGGTTTTAGCCAACAATTTATTTATCATATCTGCTATCAATTCTGATAAACATTTTATTCTTTTACTTCTGAAGATGTATGTAAAAAAGAAGTACTCTTGGCTAAACTTGTGTATTCAAAAACCTCTATCTTTCATTAACTCATAATTTTAAAACTGAAATATTACAGTTGAGATTATAGAAGTCTATTCAGCAATAAAATGCTTATAATTCGCTCTACCTTGACAGGAGCGAATCTCGAGCAGCTCCACAATGATATTCCCTTTTTTCATTTTGTCACCAAGTTATGAGATGGCTTGTTTTTGTCATAAAAACACTTTACATAGCATATAACCCACCAAAAAAACACTCTATTTTTTCTTGAAATCCCTCCATCTACGTACTGTGTGAGGTCTTGCTAAGACCTGTAGTAACGATGGAAGCATAAAAGATTGAGTATATTATAAGAATAGGTGAGAAACAGGCGCTGTTCAGTGGTCGGTGCAGGACAGTGTTGAGAACCTAGTGTTTACATACATTGCGATAAACCATCCAGAGAGACTTGTATTGGCGTGCATGGATGACTGGCTTGAGGTTGAATTTGAATTGTAATAGGTAAGGAAAAGTAAGAATATCAGAGAGAAAGGGAGAAGAAAAAATTTCAAACAGATCAGTGCTTCACCAAAAGCTTACAAGCTCCCTTTTAGCACAGCGTATATAGAAGCTCTAAAAACCTTTTCCCAACTCATCTGTCTTTTCCTCTATCGTAGTTAAGTCCTCTACACCTCATTGTCAGACATCACCGACTACGAAAAAGAAAAATGAGAATATGAAAAATGAGAGAGGTGTTCTCGTAAGAGAACAAATCTGTCCAACAAGAGCTTAATCTCAGCGGATCGTATCAACAAAGGTACTCTGCCCGCTTACAACACTCTGCTGTATATTTAAACATCACATCATTATTTGTGATTCCGCCCCGAATGAATGCACCTTGCACATGGTTGACATAGCATCAACACGACAAACTACGCCAATTGACCTGACAAAAATTCATGTATTTATATTGTTTAGATGTCAATCAGCAGCTAACGCTTTCAATTTCCAAGATGCTTCATCATTTCTGGATGATAGCGCTCGCCTGAAACATCGAATGACTCAGCGATAGCTCGCACCTCAGCCAGTTCTTCTTTCGATAATACAACGGCGCCAGCACTCATGTTCTCCAGTAGATATTTTTCCTTGCGAGTACCAGGAATGACGAAAATATCATCTCCTTGACCAAGCACCCATGCGAGCGTGAGTTGACTTGCCGTAACTCCTTTCTTATGAGCGATCTCCTTAATCTTGTCCGCTAGTTTGAGATTTTTGGCAAAATTCTCACCTTGAAAACGTGGCATGATTCGGCGTCGATCATCTTTATCCAAATCGTTTAACGATTTAATATTGCCAGACAAGAAACCGCGGCCCAGTGGTGAATAGGCGACAATGGAAACACCCAGTTCTCGGGCAGTTTTGATTAAATCGTTCTGTTCATGGTCAAGTGTCCAAGGGCTGTACTCCACCTGGACGGCAGTGATAGGATGAACCTTGTGAGCACGACGGAGAGTGGTAGCTGAGCACTCTGACAGGCCAAGGTATTTGACTTTGCCTTCCTTGACCAATTCCGCCATAGCTCTGACAGTAACTTCGATTGGCCTAAGAAGCGATTGTCAGTTTATCTTTATACCAATTGACATTCTACAAATATTCTTACGTATCCGGATCGATGCGGTGACTGTAAAAAAGATCGATATAATCGGTTTGCAAGCGTTCAAGTGATGCATCGCAGCATCTTCTTAAATATTCTGGATTACCATTGACTCTGAATGTTCCGCTGCTATAATCATTACCAAACTTGGTAGCTAAGAATACATCCTTTCTTCTATCTTTGAGGACTCGAGAAATGACTTTTTCACTGTGACCCTGACCATAAACATCTGCATAAAATGTTATTAGCGCCAGTTCTGTTCCTGATTCTAACCTCTAAATAGCCGTTATTACCTGCTGTATCCCAGAAGTTGCAGCCTATATCGAGAGCTTTTTTAAGCAAATCAACACTGGAATCATCGTCCGTTTCGCCGTAAATACCAGGAGCCTAGTTAAATATGCTGTTTAACTAATGACTATGAAAAGATGTGGCATCAACTATGTTAAGTACCTACCAAGCTCATACCACCATATCCGATAGCAGATATCTTGACACCAGTCTTTCCAATTTCGCGTAGTGGGCTTGCCTGTGGTAGCGTCATATTTGTTCTTGTATAATTTGTCGCAACAACAAAAATGAAAGTAAAGGTTGATCAAACTCCTTTAAATATCGAAATTGGCGTTCGGAGCACAAGAAAGGTGGTTGTAGTCCACGTCATATAGACACCAAACCTTATGTTAGAGCCGGCAACCTAAAATGGAACAGGAAACGGCTTGAAAGCTGGTTATTTATTCCACCGAAGATTTTTCATTGGCTACTGGCAGATTTCCATATGGAGCTTTTATGGACGCCGGCGCAAGAGTTGCTATAGCGTAAATCGCCGGTAGCAGCTTCGTGTTTAATGATTAAATGTTTGAAATTAGTAGGATCAACGGGATGTTTTTTTTTGCAGGTTGGTTGACGCGCGTACAACATAAACGTCTTTCTCTTTAATCAAATGAAAATGTAATGCTTTGTTACTTCCAATGAAATACTTTTAATTTAGGCAGAAATGGATTGAAGTAATTTGCTGGTTTATCTTTTTTTTGATATATCTACTTATTCATCATATATCTACAAGTATTCCGCGTCTGTTTGGGTACTATAAGCTATGGCAACCGTTTATTTCTCTATATCATTTTTATCGTGATCTCGTATGTCGGGTCCCCGGTTAGATCAACTTAAGTAAAATCATCTATGTTGATATTTTCTCAATTTTTCTTTTTATGTTGTTCAAGTTTTGGCATAAGCCGCTACGTGAGTCCACATCTGGAGGTGGTGCTGTGGAAAGGGAATATTCCTTTGCTTTTTCTAAAAAATGACGGGCTGCTACTCAAAGTCATTCCCGGAAATTAAACATTAGCAAGCAGTCATATTTGTGTGCGCCCATGGCCGCGGGAAAAACTTTATCTCTTGCGACGCGTCATCTTTTGCGACGCGTCATTTTTGAAGTTTTATCAAGGTTACCAATCAAAGGCAAACTTTTAATATAAAATGGCTGCTGGTTTTTTCTCTCAACTGCATTCAAAAGTAAAATGTCAGCTTCACTGCCAAAAATGCAATATGTCAACCTCGGAAACACCGGATGCAGAGTATCAAGAATCTGCCTAGGTTGTATGTCATATGGCGACAAAAACTGGGCTGACTGGGTCGTTGAGGAGGATGAATCGCTTCCTCTCATTAAGCAGGCCTACGATGCTGGCATCAACTTTTTCGATACCGGTAAGTGTAAAGCTCCTTTCAAGTTAACCGCTGTCATCCATTATATTCACTAACCTTGATGTACTAGCTAATGTCTATTCAAATGGCACTAGCGAAATCATTTTGGGAAAGGCTATCAAGAAATTCAGTCTTCCACGAAATAAAATCGTTGTTGCTACTAAGGTATTTAGCGTCACGACTCCAGAAAACATGTCTTACCGAGCATATGCAAAACCGAAGGAAGTCGTTGAAGCAGATGGATATGTCAACTATGGCGGTCTGTCCCGCAAGCATATCTTTGACTCTGTCGAAGCCAGTTTAAAGAGACTGGATTTGGAGTACATTGATTTACTCCAGATTCACCGGTAAGACCTTTACCCGCCTGCGGAGAAACATATCTTCATTGTCATTCAAACATAGCCATTCGATCTATTCAGTTTCGACCCTTACACTCCTGTTGAAGAAACTATGGGAGCTCTGAACGACCTTGTCAGAATGGGTAAAGTTCGATACATTGGTGGAAGCTCTATGTGGGCATGGCAATTCGCCAAGATGAATGCGGTTGCCGAAAAGAATGGCTGGGCCAAGTTCGTCACCATGCAAAACCATTATAACCTTCAGTAAGTTACAAAGCCATAAGAAGTTGTTGGCAAGACAATATATTAATTTTCTATATTCCTTATTAGCCATCGTGAAGAAGAACGTGAAATGCACCCTTATTGCGTTGATTCAAAGTAAAGATCATTTCTTAAGCCTCACATGCATGGGCCGATATGTGTATACTAATCTGACTGAATTACTTGTAGGATTGGTACACTACCATGGTCACCATTAGCTGGAGGAAAGTTGGCAGGAAAAAATCGCGGAACTACCAGAGAGAAAACGACACAACCCTACACCGAAGCAGAGACTGAGATCAGCGATCGTGTGGCTGAAATTGCAAAGAAGAAGAATGTACCACCGGCACAGGTTGCCATTGCATGGGTATTGGCCAAAAGTGTGGTCAGCTCACCTATCATCGGTGCTGGAAAGGAAAGCCATCTTATTGATGGCATTCAAGCTCTGTCTGTCAAGCTCGATGACGATGAAATCAAGCATCTTGAGGAACCTTACGTTCCTCGTGTCCCTCAAGGTCACGTATAATTATACAAGCTCATCATCGCATATGTAAAAGGTATCTTTCTTTAGAGCAAGAGTACAATAGCCTAACAATAAAAGAGTACCAACCTATATGATTACTGTATTACAAGATACCCCTCCAAAAATACCTGTACCCTCTAAAACCCTCCATGAAAATACTCTCCTCTCCTCACAAACCCGCTTGCCGCGCCTCTCTTTGACGGCCTACTTCTTGTCCACTTAACCTCAAAATTTCAAGGCTCTTGCCTCCCGCGTTCGTGCGTTAATCTTATCCCTGTATTTTGTGTGATCTCAAATAAAGGAAGTACGGTCATATCGTAAGATCTACCATACTTACCTCAACTGCCACAATATGAATTAAGAAGCGATGTTTCAGCATGAGAAATCAAAGTTGACGAACGGACTTTTATTAGTACATATTAGAATATTCATAAATGGATGAGCTATCTTAGGTTAAATTTGTGCATAGATCGGTAGTAGGCCAGTGATTAACTCGGGGAACAGTATTCATTTATTTGTCACCAAGTCGTAAAATAACTTGTTCTTGTCATAAAAACACTTTACATAGCTTATAGCCCACCCAAAATACACTCTCGAGTATAGTTATAAGAATAGGTGAGAAACAGACGCTGTTCAGTGGTCGGTGCAGGGTCGGTCATGATATTTTTAATGCTCTACTTTAATGCCGTTATATTTGAAAAACATTTGCAAGATAGAAAATATAATACACCAGCTAAAATATGTCCTCCCTATTGCAAGAAAAATACACCACTTTTTTGATTCAGATAAGTTCGTGCTGGTGAAAATATAAAATTGACAGAACCGCACAAATTGTGCATTTTTCGATTGTCGTTTAGATTACTGTATGACTTATTGTATTATCCTGCAGACGAGTGAACTTCTCGTGAGGTTAAAAAACTGCTTTTTATTCTATTAATCAACTGCTCTATTTATACTTGTTGATTCGTGACTTATTATATAAAAATGTAAAAGAAATCTAATTTTAAGAGGATATTCAATGTGACTTCGCTGGTAAAGAAGTCCCCTTGAACCGGCGTTCGGTTGAACTGTCATTTTGTATTTTAGGCGACGACACGATATTGTGATTGTCGGAGTAGAAAATGAGAGCCAATAAAAAATTGAAGAGAGTGGGATTCGAACCCACGCTTCCGAAGAAACCAGGGCCTAAACCTGGCGCCTTAGACCAACTCGGCCATCTCTCCTTAGTTTTTCTGTCGAAAATGCTGTTGTTTATAGTGGTTAAATATTTTCAGCCATCTAGTTCTCAAGTCGATGATCTTTATTCTCCATGACTATTATACTCACTAATGACTTTTGTTTTGTTCCTTTGTTCTGAAAATCCCACTGGTTATGTTACTCAACTTTGCATGAGGCTCCGTCTTAATCATAGTCGGAAGACCCTTTCTGGTAATAGCCTTTAGTGATCAGCAGAGCTCGCATCCTTCACGTAACGCGGTGGACTTCAACAAAGGAGGTAGAATGTTTCTACCCTACATTTATAACATTCTCGTCGTCCTTCGGATTCTCTTCAACGATTTTTGGAGCTTCCTACTCCTCTATATTCTGTCCTCGACTTGCACATATCTTTGATTTTGTAACGATACCACTGACGTCGTCTACTACGCATATGCTTTTCGCATATTTATCAAAACCATTGCATGTTTTTTTCTTTTATTTTGCACACTATACCATAGCGTCCATCTTTTTGGCTCAGAAGGGTTTCATTTCCTATTGTTTCGACGAGACTTTCCAACTTGTTGACTTTACTGCCATGAAATCGTTACGAAGATATAACGAGCCGAGAAAGCGTAGTAGAGGCGTTCATACTTCTTGGATTTTAACTTAAATTACAGCACATTTGTTTTTGAGTTAGAATGGAAAGCTTAGATCACGATCTGTCTAATAAACACAGCATATATGCTGGGTATGTTGATCATACTGCAAATTACGGCACCGATTGGACCCCCTGCTACCGTGTGCATAGTAAGAAAAAAGAAAAAACAAAAGGAAAGCCATGGTTATAGCTTCGTAGCCAGTAACTACTATTAGCACCTGATGTCTTAATTTTCCCCTTTCTTAATACCCAATAAGCATGGACTTTTACCAAGATCGCGCATTTCCAACAATCTCCTCAAAAGTAATTGCCGTCGGAGGTGTTTGCACAGATTTTAATCACATCTATTATGACTGAGAGCCACTGCATATTTTATCATCGTAATGACAAATTTTTATAAATCTTTTGTGCTATCACGTAGCCTTAGCATGCGCTCAAGGGTAACCACCTAACAGCAACATTGTGTGCTCAAAACACAGCCTATTATTAGCAAAAGTCCTTTTCAGTTCATCGATATATAACTGTGCCGCCGTCAAATAAGCGACTAATAACGTGCTCTAATCATATTGACCTTCTCAGAAGCCAACTGAAGAACAAATCAAAAACTAATAATTTTGGCCATATTGATCCACAAAAAGTATTCGCAACAAACCAGGGGTAAAATTCGCCTATGAGCGCACAATCTGTTGCAATGAGCCCTCAGAATCGTTGCAAACATAAGCTGATTCTTAACACGGGTAAACTCCAATTTGTGCCATTTGTTTCAAGTGGGTACAGGCGATGTGAACGATGACAAGTTCATATCGCAGAAGAGGACATCAACAACATTCCACACATTTCGTAAGATATTTGTAGTATTCGACGTCAATATTAGGACAAATTGTATCTAGAACAATTTGTAGCTACTACAGTGATTAGTTCGTATAAGTTGGTTGATCTCCCGTTGAACACCAGTTGGGAGCTGAGTAACTACTGCCCGGTGGCGGGTGTGACCTGTAACATGCTCACCTGACCAAGCCTATTTTTTTTTCAAGGTATTTGACGTTCCGCTGCGTCGCGTTACTTGGTCTGGCGACGCGTCGCAACATTTGTACATTTGACATTTGCTTTTTGAAATGAGTGATCAAGACATTCCAACAGTGGACGTTGACACTTCCTCACATCAAAATGAGGATAATGTAGTACCTAAAACCGAAGTTACTGATACTCCTCTCCCTACTGGTGCTGCTGAAGAAGAAGACCCTAAACCCGTGCGCCTGAGGAAACCCATAACATACGAAGAACTCTCTGACGACGAAGTTGAGTCTTGGATGGATGATGAAAAGCTCAAGAAAGCTGAAGATATTGACACGGATGACCTTCTCTCTGATGACTCAAGCAACAAGAAGTTCATAAGAGGCAAAAATGGAGCAAACGGAAGGTCGGCTTCCAATCGACAGAGGAAGAAGAAACATCACTTTGATGATACCGATGGTAATTCTGATGACGCCTTTGAAGGAGGCAAACGAAAACCCGCATCCAAGCGCAAACCAGCTGTCAAAAAACCAAATGGAAAAGGAAAGGCATTGGAGCCTATGATCAACATCGCTGACCTTATAAAGGCCACATCCAAGCCTGTAAGTTTTCAACCTTTTACTTCATTGTGTATTGAACATTGATCTAATGTCAAAATTTTCAGAGGAAGCCAGCTGAATATGAACCAGATCGAGTGGCAGAGTTGGCTTCAAAATACCCTGATACATATTGGGAGTTCCATGCCGACAGCGGACACTACATGGTTGATAGCATCAATGCTGCCGAGCCATTAGAAGCACTTCCCAATAACATTAGTGACCAAGGTAGAGTGAAATGAGATTAGTGCGGTAATACATGCAAGCGTTCTGACCAAAAAACTACCATAGCTGCTATCACGGGAATGACTTTATCCAAAGACGGAACTATGTTGGCTGGCCTATCCAACATTGGTGCCATCAAAATATGGGACATTGAAAACGACTTCAAACTTCTGAGAAAGCTTCGTGACGCTGATGAGCCACATATTGACGAATTCTATTGCGGAAAGTTTATATCTGAAAATCAAGGTCTAATAGCCGCTGGTGGAAAGTTAAAAGATCGCCATCGCTGGTCAGCGGAAGATGACGACAACCATATTCTTCCCTGTCCCATCAAGGTATGTAAAGAAACAGAGATTACCAACGCGATTTTTTTTAAAAAAGATTTTCTGACATTCCAACTAGATTTTCGACATACTTACTGGCAAAGTTATTGCTAGGCTGGACGGCCATAGCGAAGAAATCTTGTGTATCAAGGAAGTCATGTTTGATGGAGAGCGTTACTTAATATCCACCAGTCAAGACGGTTACATCTTTAGATGGCACTTGAGCGACGATTGGTCGTAAGTAATGACTCAAACGAGTGGGTTGAATGATTTTGCTGCATGCCCTAATTATCCTGTTTGTAGCACGCTATTAGATACAAAGAAAATGGACGATGGCATTACTTGCATGGCATTTACAGTTTCATTCGTACCCAACACCGGAAACAAATACTTTTTAGCAGCTTGCGACGAACATATCCGCTTGTATGACTTTGAGAGTTGCCAGGTTCGTCCAAATGGAAGACATACCGCATACATGCGATGTGATAATATACTAATCGTGTTCATCATCTGTTGTTATGCTCTATTGCAGATGATGCAAACATTCGAGGATTTATACTCTTCGTACTGCGATTGTGGTAAATTCATAAAATGGTTGGATGAAGATCGTTACTTAGAGGAAACAAAAGCAGAAGGATCTAGCGAAGAAGATTCAAAACAGTATGCATGGTTCGTTACCCGTGGTGCTGAAATGTGCGATATGGGAGACGGAATATGTAAGTACTAAGAGGCATCATATTGGAAAAACCACATCTCATATTCCTAACCTTTCGATGTAGCGTCGACTCCAAACACTTGTACTCTTCACAAGTTGGTTTATCCAGAAAAGAAGGGTGGAAAGTTTGAGTTGCTGGAGGTGAAGAAATACAAGCATGAAGAGTAAGTGGAAGCTACGAGTAACGCTGGAAATGAGCTTCGGTTTATTAATTGAATCTTCGTTAGCTACCATTCCAACTCCTGGCTAGTCAAGGTTGCGTCAAACGGAAGGTATCTGCTCGCACCAACGATTTATGGACAGATATTTGTATTCAATCTACTGAGTGGTCAAGTTACTGCCATTCTTAAAGATCATGAAGGTACGACGTGGTATAAAGAAAACTTTGGAATGCGAACAGGTTGCTAACCACGATTGTTATTAGACTTGGAAGTACGAGATGTTCTCTTCCATCCATATAGACCACTCGTCTTTTCCAGTGGAGACGGTAAGAGCAGGCTGAAATTTCTCAACATCATCCCATTTTATATGCTAATACTATGTCTGAAATTGAAAGATGGATACATCAAGGCATACACATACTCGGAGACATCACTACATATGCAATTGGAACAGGATCTCAAGGTTGGCAATTCAGTCGATCAAAGTGGTGATGAGATGATGGCTGATGCTCCGCTTAAAGCAGAAAGCAGACGCTCGACTCGTAAATCACGGACACCAGGCGAAGGCGATGATGCTGAAGTAGATGTTGAAGGATGATTATATAATTTCTAAAATATTTTAAAAAAACAGCAGATATTTTTTCTTTGAAACCATTAAAAAAAAAGGACAAGCGTTATTCAACGAACGTGTTATAAAGTTGATGAGATGTATTGGTGAGTGGTCAGATTGTATACAAGGTATCAGTGGTTGTAATGGTTTACTCTTCATCCTCCATGAGTTCCAGTAACTTTGTAAACCATTCTGAGTAATTTTGCCGGCTGTTTGGAGTGCCACTGACCATAATCTCATCATCAATGGACAGCTTGCCATCATCTGCTTCGCTATCCTTTCGGTTTTCGTCACACATCAAGGCCAGCATGACATTGTATTCATCAAAGGTAAATCGAGGTCCTCTATCCTGAATCTCCTGTATCATTCTCTATATGCATGAAGTAAAGCGCATCAGCAAGCAATGTTACATTCTCGCGCATGCAGCGTGACTGTACTGACCTCAGGGCCCAAGCCGAATAGGCTATAGTACTCACGACCGCGCTCCATTGGGGAGCACTGAGAAACTGATAATACACTCAACAAATTTTGCTGTAGAGCCAAGATGTTTCTGACCATTTTTCGGACGCCATTATGATTGAGACGTTTGATATGCGCTGCGTTGGAGATGACCATGTGAACGATCAAATCTGGCAAGCCGTCAAAGACGAAGCTATAACAGAAACATGTTAGGAAACAGTGTATGTTATGCTAGTATAGTGTATCACAAGATTATACCTTTCATCATTAGGAGGAAGTGACAGGACAACGCAGTCATCAATTTCCACAAGGTTTGCATTGAGTGTCATGATATACGGGTCTGGTTCATAAGATTCCTCTTCCAAGAAGTAATTGCCCTATAGAACAGGAAGATATGTCTCAGCATATAATATCAATGTGAACGATTGCATGAAAAGTCATTGCTTACCTCTCGTGTAGCCATATCCAAGTAATACATGACACGGCACCTGGCTTCCAATCTCAAAGTGAATAGACAAGTTTCGGCCAATTGCTGGTAAGTAACCAGAAGAGCATCGAATCGCCTGTATACCTGAGAGTGAGGAAATGGTAATGATACTATACGATACTATGAGCTACCACTTACGAAGCTGTCTCGTCTTTCAAAGGCAAATGTATATTTCCTTCCAATCCGGGCTCCGATTTGGTTTGAACACCGGCATAAGACCATCGCCTAGACACGAATGCAGTCGTACTCTCAGTCAGATCAGAGTTATGCATATTTTGAAGTTGATGTTCTACTGCATTGATGGTTGTTGGTTGAACCAATTTTTTGCTTGGTGTTCTTAAGTCCCAGATTTTGCGGACAAACCATTTCTGTAAAATATAAGATTAGATAGTGTCGAGAAAAAAGTCTATGATAGTACATGCAAACTTTACCAAGCTCTGATAAAGGCGGCCTAAAGCAATTAGCTTCTTTTGGTCGAGAAGAAGGTCGCCCGTCTTAATTTCGTTTTCTTGCTTGAGTTTCAACTCTAGCTTGAGTTCCTGCACAACGAAAGGAAAGATAAATATAAAGATCCAATTTCCAACAACTTGTATTGTAATTGTGAACTCACTCTTTGATTTAGTCCTTTCAAAAACGTGTCGTCCGCATCCTGCGCATTATATTATTGTAAGCAAGCGGTGTGATTCTCATGGTTGCGGAATCATCAAGAGACACAAACCTTATCTCCATTAAAGTAGGGGCTCTGCGTAAGCAAGGCAACCACGCCTTCATCTTGCGCTAAAGTGGCGCTCAAACTGATAGGGTATTCATCGATACGATTGTTGCCGCTGCTCTGGTCACTAGGAGCAGCAATGACTAAGAAAGTTCAGGATGGAAGTTAGCATATACTGTGGCTTAACACCTAAACGATTGAAAGTGAACCTACAGTGGAAGCGCTCGAAGCATTTTTCATAGAACTTGAGTAGCACAATCTCGATCATTCTGATATACTCATCGGTATGGAAGGGCATTGCGTACATGGTTCGACACAAGCTTTGGATAACGACAAGCAAAGCAGTAGCGCACTGTTCAGCACCGCATTAGTATATGGTACGGATCACCCGGCCAGAAACATAGAGCAAACCAAAGCGACTGCACTTACTCGGATAACTGGATAACGAGAAAGTTTTTGGTAATCGTCGTCATCCCGGAAGGCATCGGCACCTATAAGCACGGTAGAGCCATCAGAGAGAGCATGGATGGATGGTCGTTACGAATGATCCACACTTACCAACTGTGGCATTTTGAATCAATTGCATCACCTTGTCTTCAATCTGAGGCAAGAAGATATTTACAGCAAAGTCGTCCAAGAAGTTGCCAAAACTGTCGATATTGTTACTATCGCTGCGCAAATGAAAAGGAACGAAAAGTTAGTTGATTTGATGGTGTGTGTATCCAGTCGTTGATCAACGCGACATACTATTTGGGGAAGATTTCTCTTAATCTTTGTAGGAAAGACATGGTTGGCTTCAATAAAACGCTAACATTGTAAGCATTTGGTTTGATTAATAGCTTGTGCTCTTTGACAGTCAGTGTGTTTGCAAACATGTCAACTACAATGGATTGATAGTTGGTGGATTGCTGCTTTGCGTCTGCAGGAGTGAAGCTGTGGATCTGTCGTTTCAGCGAAGTCTGTACATCGGATTTGATGGTATTATATGCACGATGTAACGCTGGGTCTTCTCCTTCATTAACAAACTTGAAGAGCTGCTTAGACCGATCTCTACCTTTCGACGGTGAATGTTGCTTCAGACCTTCATTAACTTTACTAATCGGTGTATGAAGGTTATTAGGTGAAGTTCTTTCCCGATCGCTGAGATAGTCGTGCAGAATTGTACGAATCTATACACATGAAATTAGTGATATATTTTGGCAACAGCTTGTCATAAATTTGTTTGCTTCAAACCTCAGACTGCACAGGTTGCCATATTTCATGGAAATGGTATACTGTGAATTCCTCACGCGTTGCACCTGTATGTCAATCGTATTTTAGTTGGAATGAAGTTGCACACTGTATAGAAGGTAGTTATCACCGTACCTTCTGCAGCAGCTTTTTGTCGCTGTTATGATATGGCCATTAGTTAAAACAAACACGTTTTGAGAATGAATGTATAGGAGTTTTTACTTACTGCCTGGATTTTTCTTGCGGAATCCTCCAGTACGCGGTGGCCCCGCAGAACAGCCTCCAGTTTTGAATATAAAGTCCACAAGAAATCTTTCAAAATCTCATTTTGCGCTTCATTATCAGCTTTGTCTAGCGAGTATACCAGCTCATGGCCAGTGCTGCTTCGTTGCTGTTTTGTGATCGGTACTTCAACTTGATGCAGATGTCTTTCTTCCACTTGAGCAATAGTTTTATCAACTAGTGCATATATTTCGAGTGGCAGACGATTAAGAACAGCCTAAGAGAACGATCAGATCAGGCAATGCAGCATAACAATATTCACCATACCAGTGATTTTCATACCTCTAAAGTTTCTTGTACTTTTCCCAAGGTCGCCAAGGATTCCATTAATGTTTCAATGTAGGTATAGGAATTTTGCTCAGGATTTTGGTCGAAATTCTCAATGATCTAAATGGGTTTATTTTATCATATTTAGCTGAGTAATTGTTAACGTGTTATACAGTCCTGCATTTCACTTACCAGAGTCTGAGTTTCACTAGAATACAGCCCCTGTGCTTCGGTCTGTGCATCTGTGATGTGACATAAGTATGCGTAACAGAAAGTTTAAATATTGAGTTAAACGAACCTTTTGACGGTGATTCTTGCATGCTACAGAGTAGTTAGAATGGAATATTTGATGTTCAATTACAAATAGTGCACTTTTAAAGATACGTACCTCTTCAATTTGATTGTGGATATGGGTACTATGTTGATCAACGCAGCGGTAGTTAGGGAACAGTCATGATTGTCGTCGCTGATGTATATCACTTACAATCCTGTTGGTCCTTTATATAAGCTGACCACAAGGTGTCACAATACGGGCTCTTCAGATACAAATGATTATGTAGTTCCTCTATCATGGTTTCTTGTAGTGTCTGTTGATAAAAAATGCTCCATTTAGTACGGCCATACTCATTGGCACAGCGGCATTGATGACAAACCCTCTTACAGTGGTCTGTTCAATTAGATTACGCCGAAGGTCATCTAAAGCTCCAATATTATTCATGTCCGGATCTGTGATGGACTTGACTGCATGAGCCAGTAAGGTAGATGCCGACAAAAAGTGCTTATTAGCGATGTGGTTGGCCAGATTGCCTGGCGTCACGCGCAGCTCTTCGCTGTAAATATTATAATAACTTATAAGGGACATTTCTAACAAAGCTCAGAATTCAGTTAACTTACATGGTATCTAGAATACTAATCATCTCTTTTCTCTGTTTGCTTCTCAAAAACAAGTTCAGTACATCCGCCCGTCGCTCTTGCAGCACTTGCTTAGCTTTAACAAGGTTCGACTTGATTTGCTGCACCTTAGCATGCGAATCTGTAATCTCGGTCAGTCGCTATCCTTCACCTTCTTTCACCAGAGATATTACCGATTCTTACCGTTGATGTTGTTCAACACACCACCAAATGTACCGATCGAACTGTTGAACCCTTGGTAGTACTCTTGAAGGTGAAATAAGATACATTAGCTTTGAGATAGTAGCGATATACTATGTATTCGTAAGACGAGTTACCGTTTGTGATAGATTTAAGTGCTGTATCCAAATTGCGCATAGTTCGAAGAAATAGTTGATAATCGCTTCCTCTTCCAACCGAGCTGTCGTCCATGAGAGATAATGCTAACGTTACCGGATCCAGCTGAGTAAGGGGGTAGGCAGTCAGGACCATGTTTAGCAATATGCGTGGAATAATCAATTCATTACTGTATACCTCTTTATCCAGCATAAAGCTCCAGTTGCGATTAATATCTCTCAGCACCTCTACGAAGAGATGAAGAGATGGTGAGTAAATTCAAAAAGGGGTTACTGATTGTATGGGCTTGAAGGTGTACCTTCGACTTCAGAGAAACTGTCGACCTTTCTATTGGCAGCTGACCTGGAGGAATGTTGTTCTTCCTCATAGTCATCGTTATACCTTCCTCTCCGGAATTGATAACTCATCGAGCAGCAGGACTAAGGCAACAACCGTTTGCTCGCGTTGGGTGTGCAGCGAGTTTGAAATGCAGATGGCCACTTCTGGAAATGGAAAAGCACGTCACATTAGTTTTGGGCCAGGAAAATCCCGGCTGGCCCATGACAAATGAGTTCCCATTGACTTTCCGTCTTCAATAATGTCGACAAGAACAGCTTTGAAATACTTGGCAAGATCCACAGCAACTGTCATAGGCAGAAATGCAGTGTCAGCTAAGCCTATGTTGACCCGTGGAATTGCTCTTGGACGCCTCTCCGCCGTACCTCAAGTGAGACCAACTTGGTCACCTCTGCGAGCCACATCTATTTCTCAAGGTTAGTCACCCACGATCTCGCCATTAACTTTTTTATTGTTTGTCGGAATCGAGTTAACGCTTTCATTACCATGTAGTGCGCACCATGTTCATTCAAACCGAGCAAACCCCTAACGACGACGCTCTCAAGTTCATCCCCGGTGTGCCTGTCATGGAGAGTGGCACTGCTGAATTTTTGGACGTACGAAGCTCATTGCAATCACCTCTCGCTAAGCAGCTTTTCCAAATTGAAGGCATAAAGGGTGTTTTTTACGGACCCGACTTTATTACCATTGCTAAGGAAGCTGGCAGTGAATGGCAATTAATGAAGCCAGATATCTATGCTGCTATTATGGATCACTTTGCATCCGGCCAACCCCTCATTAAGGAAGGATCAGCTGAACCCAGTGATACAGCTATTCTTCCTGACGACTCTGAAGAAGTTCAGATGATTAAGGAGTTGCTCGACACTCGCATCAGGCCTGCTATCCAAGAAGACGGTGGTGATATTGAATATTGCGGCTTCGAAAATGGCATTGTCAAGCTCAAGTTGAAGGGAAGTTGCCGTGGATGTGATTCCTCTGTTGTCACTTTGAAGAATGGCATTGAGAACATGCTTATGCATTACATTCCTGAAGTCCAAAGTGTCGAGCAGGTTTTGGACGAGTACGACGCCGTTAGTTTGAAGGAGTTTGATAGGTTGGAGAAGAGTCTAGGAGAAAAGTCGGCATAAGCTAATTCAATTCAGTATACATCACATCCTTTCTCCATTTTTTACATACATATAGAAAAAAAATTACTCTCGTCACAACGCTGCCTTTATTTCTCGTTGGAGACTGAAAATAGCAAAGCGCTTTTACATCATTGAACCAACTGTATTCTATAAAAACAATTTGATACTGCCAAAGGCAACAAACGCATGGGTGCTTTCTTTATTCACATTAGCGACTTTACTCTATCACATTCTCCTAGAGCAAAAGAGCACTGATCATAACAATCATACTGGTGCCAACAAGAACAGCCATAGGCACAGTTGTGGCGACTCCCGACGCTTGTGTTGAGTTGGAAACGTTTGAGCCAGTTGAGCCATTCGTGGACCCGTTGGCACTGTTGGGCCTGCCTACATATTCAACCCAGCTGTTGTTGGATGGGTTAAATAGGTAGGTACTGTCAGCTCCAACTTCGGTATTGGTATTTGTGTTGTTATATCCACTTCTCCTATATCGTAAAAGAATCAGTATTTGTAATTTGCAAAGTCGTTTGGCTAGGCGCAAAGACACACTTACAAAACAAGATATGAGCCACCAGTAGTATTCAGCAATGACAGCTGTCCACCAACGGTGCTAGGAGGTTGATTTGAGGCAATAGGGTCGACCAATGTCCAGGTGCTATTTCAAAAGATTAGTAAGAGGAGAAACATCAAAGGAGGTAGTAGTGAGGAAGCTTTACCTGGGTGGAGTAAACATCCAAAAGTCTTGACTGATATTCTCGATATGCTCATCGGAAGAGTTGGAGGTACAAGTCTGGCCACTAAAAACATAAAATGAGGAATTGTAAAATGCCACAGCAGGATCGCTGACGGTAGTGTAAGTCAGGTTTTTAGGGAACTGGGCCACCGTGGACCACTGGGAAGCGGTTGCGTCAAAGCTCCAAATATCTGCGTTACAATTCTTGGTGGCGTTCAAAGAAGTTGTGTTCTACAAAGTATAATAATATGGTCAATCAACACATGACAGGGTAAAGCCTAACCAAAAAGGAAGGGAAGTACTTGCATCATTGGCACCAATCTGTCCACCAAATAGGAATGCCTGCGTATCGGAAGGAGCTAGAACACCACCTTGAATGCTAGGAATAGAGCCTGAAGTACTTTGTGAGGCAGCCGGGGCGGTGAAATTCCAAGTAGACAAGTCAGCTAGCCAAGCGTCATTGGTAGGCGTTGCAGTAGTGGTGTTACTAGTGGATCCATCATCGTAACAAACGATTTCATTATTGACGCCAACACATTGAAAGTCCGGGTGAGCGGTGGAATTCAGCGACTGAATCGTTTGAGAAAAGGCGGCTGCTTGTGCAGTGGGAGCTTTTCCTGTCAATGGATCATTCCACACAGCAGAAACGGGGTCGAAGGTGACAATGTGGCCATTTTCACCGTTGACGGTGAATATATGGGTTCCATTACTATAGCAAAGAGCAGGCAAAGGAGATATGCCTTCTGATACAGTCAGAGGTGTCCAAGAAGGGTGGGTTTGGGGAGAGCTGGAGTTGGTGTCTGGTGGAGTCCAACTCGAAAAGGTGCTACTGACGCCTGGTTCAAGCTCAATCAAATAAGCAGTTCCGTTCACGGAAGCCAAGCATTGGTAATGACGATCGCCTGCTTGGTTATGATACACGTCTGACTGAGCAGCTACGGTAGCAGCCAGAGCAATAGCTTGGAGAGAAGTCGTTGAATATTTCATCCTAGTGCAACCAAAAGAAGTTTGGAAAAACCATTTGGAGGAGATTGTTATTTTTATACAATCTCGGTGAAGCTCAGGGTCCACTTACACAAAACGACCCACGATACGATTTAATTTTTGATCACACTTCGCTGTATCACCTTTACACAACACTTCCTATAGCCAATCATCGTCATTTTCATTTTTAACAAGCATGCAGGGACCGGTCCTTTAATCCAAACAACTTGGCGTTCCCTTATATCATATTTAATTACTACTGCAGCTCTTTTAATTCAATAATAATGGCTTTTGCTCCAAAGCTTTAGGCCGCCATTAAATGTGATACCGAGTGCGGACTGGAAGTTTTATTGGCATAAAATGCGAGGTTAGCCAGGTTGTAGAGCTTGTATCCAGAAGTATATCCGTATCTCTCTGGAGCTCAAAGCGGCATGATTTAATATAATAGGATATTACGGCGTAGGCAATTGATATTGGGTGACGAGCGGATCTTAGAAAATACACCTTGTTGGGAAAAAAGCATTCTCCTAGCAAAATCCACATCGATGTTATATCGTTATGCAAGGTGCCAAAGCTGATGTTGCTAGTCGCGAGCTCACTATCGGTGGCCGTAATGCATACAGCTTTGGGTGGGCCACCATGGTGGTTGGTTGGTAGGCATTTTACATCTTGCTGGATACGAGTAACCAGTGATCATGTAGATGTCTGTGTCTGCTCATTTTCTACGTACGCTTTATCTTTTTGCCTTCTCAGCGGACATAGTCTCAAATGTAACAGTACACAGCCGGAGGCTTCCGTTAAGATGGATGAATTCAAGTCTCATATCATGTGATGTGCCATATTGGGGTTTGTTATTGATTGGTTCCTGAAGTGCGAGCCGACTTCAAAGGCTGTTGCTCATGCAGTTAACGAAACGAGCGGAAAAAGCCCATGTTGCGGAAAGCATCGTAGTTAGAACGACAAACTTTTTACGTGTGAATCGAGCTATTCAACCTGCAAGTAAAAAGGATGTGACATTATTTCGAAGGATGCAATTCTGGTCATTTCGAAAGTCGAAGGATACCAAAGTCGGAGTGGTGCAAAAGTCGACTCGCCTGACAGCGCAGACCTCTATTCTGTCAGTGACGATTCCAATTCATATATCAGGCAATACATTGGAACAAATACGACCGTTTCTGCCATCCCGATGGCAGATCAACTGCCTGCTATTACTCTCCTTGCTCTTCTTGCTGCTGCTCCTGGCTATTGTTCAGCAAGTCGGTCGGACACTACGGCTAGCGGAGATTATTCTCCTCGGTATAAACGACCTTGTTCGATGTGTCTTCAGCTTGGCTAATAGGATCGTCGGCATTCGATAGCCCACCCTGGTGAGCATCCGCTAATTTAATGACACGCCGCCTGCCCACATAGAGCTGATCGCCACTCTGCGGCTTACTTGATGAAACTTCTTGTCCTACATGCATTTTCATTGATTATCATGTATCTGGTAGATCTCTACAGCTATAGGAATCCCTTAATTTAAAAGTGTAAAATGAGTTGAATTAATGGTTCAAATTAGGTGACGGCTGAAAAGCTGAGCAAGTAGCTCACGCTCTGTATCAATCAAATTGTATTTAGCTTGTACCATAGCCAAACACTATTTAACTAGTAAACGAAAACGGTGCCACTCACAAAACAATTGTTAAAGAACAGCATATGCACTTTATTTTTCAAACAGTTTTATGTTAATTTGGCGGAGGTTGCAGACCGAGCGCTATAACTTCATCATACAAGTCGTGGATCCTGGGGTTGTGTTCACGTCTTCTGAGTTGATTTTGAAAATGCAATACAAAATAATTGAATCTTTGATTACCTTTAAGCTCTACCATCTCTCAAGCACTAGCGAGCAGCAGATGAAGAGCGAGAGAGTGTGACTAATCCTAGGATACACGACTCATATGATGAAGTTATAGCGTTTGGTCTGCGACTACCGCCAAATTAACCCGTAGGCGCAGTCACGTGCACTGAGTTGCGACCGTTTTGACAGTAGAAGCGTTGGTCATGGCGACAAGAACACTTTTGCAATGTCCCTCCCAACTCTTACTCGCTTGTGCTCACGACCACTACTCGCCAATAGCTCTAGATCCTTTGCGCCACTTCGATCTTCTCGCTTCTATTCCTCCGAGAGCGAGTCAGCATCGTTGTCTGAAGGCGAAAAGCATATTTTCGACAAGCTGACAAAGGAACTATCACCTGCACGTCTCCGAGTTGTCGATGTTTCTGGTAATATATTCAGATCCTAAGTGTGCTTAAATGCAGCCTGAACTCATTTCCTTTTGTTGTGCAGGTGGCTGTGGATCCATGTACGCCATCGACATTGCCAGCGAGCAATTCAAGGGCCTCTCCATTGTCAAGCAACATAGAAAGATCAACGAAATCTTGAAGGAAGAGATTAAGGGGATGCACGGTTTGCAGGTATAGTAGACATAGCTCGAGTCATCTTTTCCAGGGTGCTTACATCTTTGCTGATTTATGTGGATGTTTGGATTTTCTTTACAGCTCAAGACGGCCAGCAATTAAAAAAAATAATCAGGGACGCTTGTCTCCTCTTTTCTTTATTTAAAACATGCGGATACTGTACAGTGCAAGACCATGACCATGCAACGCCAATTATTTTGCTCTCAGTTCCTGAAACTGTGATTGTAGCTGCATAATCTGTTATAGATGCATCCCCCTTGTGTTAGTACAGTGTCTCCATTATGAACATAGACTGCGTATTTATAAAACAAAAAAAAGTTACCTCTGTTCTCTTCTTTTCTGACTTTTGGGTCAAGTCTTGGAGCTGTGCTTCAACGCGTTTTCTATTGGTGTAAAGCAAGTTAGTTAGGCTAAAGTATGAAATATAAATGTAAACGACTTATGGTCAACTTACATTTCAGCATTGATTAGATCTAGACGGTTCTTCACGTTTGCAAAGGCTTCGGTTCTTTCTTGCTTGACGAGCACAGGTCCAACTAGCTTGTAGATACTAGAACTACTGTCCAACAGGTCGAATTCCTTATTAAAGAGAAACAAACGAGCAATGACGTTAGTAAGGCTTAGCATTTCGGTCCGATTACTCTTTTTCTGCATACCTTCTTGACAAGCTCATTCTCTTGGCGTTGCGAATCCAATTGTTGGCGAGATTCAACTGCCTTTGTAAGATCTACAGATTGGGCAAGTTCATCATGTCAGGCGTAAATCAGGGCATAATGCTAATTAAGTAAGTCAGTCCTTCCCAAGCAGTAATACAATACCTTTCTGAAGCTTTTGGAAAGCTCTACTCTCGGCTTCAAGTTTAGCCTCGATGACCTGAGCAGACATGTCACGGATTCAAATAAGAAATGGCTCGGCCGGGTAGATCGCAAAACCAAAAGTATAAAAGCGGAGTCACAAGCCACTACCGTCCTGCCATTTCCCTACCCACCAAAAGACAAGACAATATGAATCAAGACACATTACCACCGAATCTCAAGAATCAACTATTTGACATTGGCAATGGGGTTTTCAGCACCTCATTGGTTCCCATTCTAATTGTAATTTCACACTACTTCCCTCCGCTTACCCTCCAATAGAACGATATGGTTACTTACTCCGTGAGATTTTCTGTAGATAACAGCGCTTGCAAGTGCCAATAGACCGAGTAAAATAACCAACGTCGCCAGAGAGCATCTGGAAACATTAGAAACCCAAGAAGATAAAAAGAAATGGGTGATGATGGCACAAAATGCTCTGATAAAGGCAGCATTTTTATGCGGAATGCCGAGGGTGAATACAATTTCCACGTTGATTGTTTTCAAGCTGTGGCGATTAAATTTAAAAAAAAAATTATATGAGTAGGTTATCAATGCCATGCAGAGCTTGATGCAGGGTGTGGACGAAGAAACAAAATCAAGTCTGCCAAAATCTCCTAGTGACGCAGGCACCCATTTGCAAGAACGTGGAGAAACCATGTTCAACAAGGTGTATGGCAAAGTGAGCGACCGGGTTAAGAACAATATTGGAGGCTCAAGCCCTGACCTGATGGCGATAATTTTGGAGGACGTATACGGACGGGTTCTATCCGATGTGACACTGTTAGACGAAGTTGAAACCGAGCTACTCACCATCGTTGTCTTAGTGCCACTTCAAGTACCTGCTCAGGTGAGTAAGCGGGGGGCGAAAGCGGAAGCGTGGTGGATAGAATACATGGAAAAATGACAACGGCCATGTGCGGTCCATGATTGGCTTATTTTAACTAACTCGATACTTTTAATTTTAGCTTAAAGGCCACTTGCATGGAGCGAAAAACGTTGGAGCTACCGAGGAGCAGGTAAAAGCAGCCGAAGCCATTGGTCGGTTGGTGACGAACGACGACGATTCCAGTTGACTTTTTCAGCACAAGCTTTTTCCTAGACTATAGACTTCATGGCATTAAACATTAGCTCGAGCAGATATTATTTCAAAGGATGGCCAATAAATTTCTTTAATTTCATGTTCAAGAGTATCTAAAGCACCAATTCTCTTTAAACACAAGGTTTAGCTACACCCCTTCATGTTGATGTGGCAGGAGCCTGAGTGGCCGGTTGATTGTTAGCATCTCTATTGAATGTTTCTTCATGCTTTGTAAAGATAAAATTCTTTAGGCGCTTCTTCGCTTCTTCGGGTTCATTAAAGTCAAGTCTGGAGAAAGAAAACTATGTGTGAGTATGACGTTACAATGGCCGAATGGGCAAGGAGGTTTCTGTACATACTTGTCGGCGATCTGTAAACAAAAATCATCGTTCTTCGTATCGAAGAACCGTGGTCTCCATTCTACCCCTTCATCCTCTCTAATCTTAGCATTATGTCTTTGAGCATCCTCAACAGCTGTCTTAGCATCCGTAGCAGCATCCATGTCGCGCTTGCGAATGGCGTCTGTGAGTGCCGACCATTGGCGTTGAGATTCGTTGTGCTCTTGTTCTGACTCTGGTGCAACGGTTTTTGGGAATATTTTTGATTCTTTGACATCAAATAGGGTATTTTTGCTTGAAGCCTTGTTCATCTTTATGTAGATTTCATTGGACCATTGACCACTGATCTCGAAAAGAACCTCGCCTGTCGATTCTCGTTTAATTTTGCCAACCACCGTATTCCATTGTCCTGAGAAAAAACCCTGTGGGAGAAAGGTATGGGTTTCTGATGCATAAAGTTCTGGTGAGGGAAAGGGAGTAGCGCTGACTTACCTTGGTTTTGAACTCTAAATCGCAAATCAAATCGCTACTTATACAACGAACAGAAGATGTATCGCCCAATTCCAGCGTCATGGTACCAAATACTGATTTTAGGCGTGGTGGGGTCAGAGGGGCCAACATATGGTAACACCAGAGAAAACCAAGTTGCACTTACATATTCCACGAGCGTACATGTTGGGCATAACAATATCGTATCTCTCATTATGTCTTTTTGTGAATATGATATGAGACGAGCCTTGCATCAAGGTAGCGGCGCTATTGCCCAGAAATTTGCTCTTGGGGCGGATATCACCGGAGATGATAATGCCGTTGTCTGGACTGGCATAATAATAAGCTGAGATTGGCGGGTGGTGCGACACTTGTTCAGCAACATAATAGCCTTCTGTATTATCTGCATAGTTGTATTGGCATCGATAAAATTCGCCCAAAACCGGATTGTATGGTTTTTTCACACCCTGAGAATCAGAGGAAAATTAAATGGTTGGCGCGTGCCATTCTATAGCAAAAAGGCAAAGGTCTGTCATAGCCCACTCAATTACCTTTGGTTTGATATGCCAACCCGACAAATAGTATCGAACAACGTCAATAAACCGTTGCACCTGGTCGTCTTGTTTACTGGCCCTGTGAGAAAACATCGGAGTCAGTACATTCGGGTTATCCGTAAAGATGGCGAGCAGAACGAGTCCCATAATATGTATACAAACAACGGACGTCTGTATCGACTGCCAAGGGGATTGGTAAAAGAGAGGATCAAGGTCCTCTGGGTCTGCTTATTTCAACTTACTCTAGTAGATAATCTGGGTGAGAGAAAAAATCGGTGATCCTTTCCAGCATACTGCGAGGTTCAAGGACGAAAGTTGGCAGAGTAACTCGATGCTAGTTGAGAAGAGGTTATGGTCAACGGTTGTTCAGTGGAAAAAGGTATGGATCCGAAGCAATGTAATAGGAATCGTCCGTTGGACTCGCTTACCAAGTCCATTCCTTTGCGGAGCTGAGACGCCAAACTCAACAGAATGCTACGGGAGCCTTCTTCGAGAACTTCAGTACAATCAGGATCGCCGGCTGCTTCGTTTTTAGACATTTTGGGTCTTGGCAAAGGGAAAAAAAAGTCAAAGCTCAGGTTAGTTCAGCTGCTTGGTGACTTTGATGACGCAATGAATCACGAAACCTACGGTCCAAAATGGGCCAAACGTTTAGCTCACCATCACGATATTAAGAGACAAGCGTAAGCATGTTATTAAATTGATGGCTTATTTTTTCATAAGATACTTTTGGCTTTACAGCTGAATCACCTCCTCCACCTCTGTATTAGTTTGGGCTCAGAACGGAATAATTTCTGCTTTAACTGTCAGATTTTCCGTTCCTACACGTTCGCTACGGAGATCAAATCTGCTAGGACTTTGGCTTCCCACTTCTTTTCCTTGGTTTTTCCGAGTGGACTTGCAGGTAAAATATGTTTTATTATTTGCTGTAAATTCTACTATGAAATGACTTGACAGGGTTAGAAATTTGTTGGTGGTCAGAATTGGATGTCGAAAGGTTTTTGTTTAAAAGGTCTATGAAGGACTAGCGAATTAGTCAATAACTTTAAAAAAGAAGCTTTGAAGACACCGAAATGTCTCGGTACGCTGCTTATGACAATCAAATCAATAATAAGCAGTCATAATGAAGGGCTATAGGTTGTAAGTAACAAGGATTCCGGCGGTTAAGCTTTGGGAGAACCGAGCGCGAGCAGTCTCACCCGGAGGAGGGTCAAATCTTATTACTCCAACAAAGATCGACTTTCCCTGCTTAATGCTGGTAATGTTAACTAGTGTCATGTGATAACTTTTCCGTACAGGAACGCTGGATAACCTTCATCAGGATGGCTTTCCGAACCAATACCTCTATATAAACCTCCGGAAAATCACTCGAATCCATTATTGATTTATCAAAACTACCTCTCTCTCACTCTCATCCAAAATGCCCAAGTTCTTCTACGATTCTGACGCTGATCTCTCTGCTATCCGCAACAAGAAGGTTGCTTTCGTTGGTTATGGTAACCAAGGTATGTGATGATGCGGCTAGTTATCAAACCAAATTGTAATGCAGTTCACTTATCTATTTCGAATGGTATATAGGATGCGCTCAAGCTCTTAACCTTCGTGATTCTGGTTTCGACAACATTGTTGTTGGTAACATCGATGATGAATACAAGCCCCGTGCTATTGCCGATGGTTTCCGCACTGTTTCCATTAGCGAGGCCGTTTCCGAGGCTGAAGTCATCTTCCTTCTCATTCCTGATGAAGATCAACAACAAGTCTGGAAGGATCAGATCCGCGACCATTTGCTTCCCAACGCCACTTTGGTTGTCGCTTCTGGTTATGCTGTTGCCTTCGACCTTTTGGAACTTCCTGAAACCTTGGACGTTGTCATGGTTGCCCCTAGAATGATCGGTGCTGGTGTCCGTGATCGTTATGTCGCCAAGGAGCCCTATCCCTGCTTCGTCTCTGTCGAGAGAAACCCCAGCGGTAAGGCTCTCCAGACTGCCATCGATCTTGCATGCGCCATTGGTGCCACCCGTGGTCGCGGTGCTGTCGAGTCCTCTTGCCTTGAGGAGGCCGGTATCGATCTTTTCGCTGAACAAGCTCTTTGGCCTGCTATCAACACGTAAGTAGCAAAAAAATCTGTGGGAATTTATTTGTGTAAACCATTGGCGTCTAACCCAACAAATTATCAAAAATAGCTGTTTCCTTCAAGCTTTCCAGGTGTTGAAGGGTGCTGGTTTCTCTGATGAGGCCATCTTGTTCGATATGTACCTTTCCAAGGAGCCTTCAGAAGTTTTCGAGCGTGCTTCCAACGTTGGCTTCTTCAAGCAACTCAAGTTCCACTCCAAAACATCACAGTTCGGTCAACTCCGCGGAACCAAGAACAGCGACGGCACTGCCTTGAAGGCACAGTTTGAGAAGGTTTTGCACAAGGATATCTTGTCTGGCGAGTTCGCAAAATACTGGTCCAACTCTCTTGCTGGCGGTGCTACTGAGCTTGAGCAATTGTGGAAGGATGTTGAGCAGGAGCCTATTCAAATCGCTGAGAACAACCTTGGACTTCAGAAGTAAATTTTTCTATACACACTATTTTTCCGACGCTTTCACACCATCACAACAGGAGCATCTTACACTCATACAGCAAATAAACATTGGTTCGTTTTTTTTTTAATGACAAAGTATTCCGGATATTGGGTGGCAGTTGTGAGAAAGGAATTAAAGTTTGTATGTGGGGTAAGTCAATGGCGGGAGCGGCTACAGCTAAAGGCTACAGCTTAAGGCGGCTAAAGGCTAAGGCTCAGGCGGCTAAGGCTCAGGCTCAGGCGGCTAATAAAGCTCAGGCGGAGCAAAGGCGGCTATAGCAAATAAATGATATCGGCTATGGCTTGCCTTGCCATATATTGAAATACCGCTAGTGGGTAATACCGCCAGTGGGTAAGTTCTGCAGACGCCGTTGCTTTTGACATGACTGCGCAAGCAGACTGGGCTGAACGGATTCTCAGTTGCAAAGACGATGAAAACTTGACGCAAATCCTAAGCGACCAGGAAGAGAGGTATTGTAACAAGGAGATTGCAGAAGGAGTACATTGTCGAAGTGCCAGGCTAACGAATTTTTCTTCAATCAGCATCCAAATCTACAAAAAGGCAACAGATCAACTGACCGCTTTCAACGATTTCAGTACTGCCAGATTTACACAAATACAGAGGCATCTAGAGTCTCATACAAAGCTCATAAAAGAGATCAAAAATGACTTGGATGCCGCGTTTCTGAAAATTAGGTAGGATTGACTGGATTTTTAACAGCTTTTTATCTGATTGTACGGCTCATCAAACTATCCAGGGTACTTAAACAACATTGTCAGGAGCGCCATCCAGTAGAACATGAGAAAGCACTCGAACGATATCCACCACGAGTCGTTGAGGATGATTGAATACACCATAACACAGAATGGGGACCAACTAACGCCTTTTTAGCGGGAACAAAAGCAGAAGTCACATTGAGGTGATGAAGAGTGTCAATATACAGTATAATTATAGACTAAGTGAAGGGTTGAGGGCATCTAATCCTCGCCAAGGAGCTCGAAAGGATTGACTGTAGATAACATATGCAACAAAGTTCAGTTTCCATGAGATTGATTTCATCCACACAAAGAATAAAAAACCCTCTCTCACTCCAACTTACATGTTGACTTCTTCTTATGCTTCTCTTCCTTCTTTTGCTCAACGGACTTCTTGTTGTAGGAGCCACTAGGAACGCTAGCGCTCTTAGTAATACCAGGAACATAAGCCATTCTACCAGGTTGCGCCTTGCTCAAGGGGCTATTGGCAAGTGAAAGCAAAGTGGCACGTTCATAAGTGGTGCGGTCTCCTATTGAGCTATTTGTGTTAGTAATGTGCGTTGTATTTGGACTTGACAGCAACGCTCCATGGCCAGCTGTCAAATGGTGTGTGCTGGACCTTTAACAACAGACACGGGAATCGAGCATTTACGTTCCAAGTCAAGTTGTTTAAACGGTCCTGGTAAGCAAACGGCAAATCTTACCAGTTTCGGATACAGCAGACTTGATAATGACTGGCTCAGTCTTGACTTCGGTGGAACCGTTGCTTGCCATTTTGCTCAGAACAACTTTTTCTTTCTTTGGACGCTCATTTTAATCCATACACAAGTGGACACCCTGAGGTCACGTGGGAAAAGCCACCGCGCCTCGACCTTTCTGACCAACCAATGCCCGAGGAGGACCTCTCACAATGGTTTGGCAGTGGTATAATCGAACACTGACCCGGCATCCACTTGTCACCCAGTGCATCACAACAGGTAGACACTCATTCTGACGCTCAAGTGTAAATGGCTCCAAATTAAACCGCATACACCAGCCACTTTATTTGCAACAGGTATGACCAGCTTTAGACCGTCAGTGCGTTTTGACAACCAGACTTAACTGTGTCTTCAGGTGACGTGATTGCCCAGCATGCTGTTGAAAAAAGAGATACACATGACTACGCTCGTACTCTACGGTTGACCGGGTTTGGAGGTGTTGTGGCTGCACCGTTGTTAAGCAACTGGTACAAATTTCTCGACCGACATATTCAAATGTCTACTCCGGTGAAAGGTAAAACACTATACGGGTCGTCGAAAACGAATGTTTAATACATGTGGGTGGCTAAGAACAAGAACATGTTTCTAGCTCTTTTTGCTAGAGTAGCATTGGATCAGCTGTTGTTTGCGCCGTGCTTCATTGCTGGTAAGAATTGATATATCACATTTCATTCGCCCCTGCAATTATCCAGCATCCGCTCACACATTCCCGTTTAGTCTTCTTCTCGGCGCAAGGAGCATTGGAAGGCAAGAATACTACTCAAATCAAAGAAAAGCTTGCCGACGGATACCCACAGGCGCTGAAAAATAATTATAAGGTGAGTTTGGGCTGACTTTCTTTTTTTTACAAATTTCGTTTCAATATGATTCTAAACCACGGATGTATCAGCTATGGCCTGCTGTTCAATTTTTCAACTTTTACGTCACTCCACTTAACCACCGTCTCATGGTCACCAACATTGTCGCATTGGGATGGAACACATATCTATCGACGGCAAATCAACAATCGTCGTCTCATGTAAATGCTTAGCCCATAGAGGTTACGGACAGGATCAATCAATGTATTTACAGTCAGAAGTTTTACTGCTTATGAATTAAAGACAAGAAAAAACCAGACAGATAGTATAGCGAGTTATGCTATTGTTCCTAGGCTGCTCAACTTGAGTTGATGTTAGATGGAGGTTGCATGCATCACGCAGTCGTCAATGTGTGCTCTTAAGCTTCCTTATTTTCAGCAATCATAGCGGCCAAAGCAGCACCGATACCATTGCCATCTCTTGTAATCTATCGGAGAAAAAAAATCCCGTTACTTCATGGCCATAGAACAAATGAACATTCATAATTGCCTACTTACACCAATATTAATGCGATCGACCTTTTCGCCGAAGATTTCACGCAAGGCCTCGTTGACACGGTTAGGGAAGTTAGGGTAGTGTTCATAAATGGTTCCTTCAACACCTGGAAGTAGAAAGAATAGGATTAAAATTGAGATACACTAGACAGGTGTCAGTGAGTAGCCATACTTACTAATGGTTAAACCAGTTTCCAATGCATTGCGCTTGTGGATGACAGCACTCATAGCGGCAGCAATGATACGGGCAGCACGTTGCCCAACAAGAGCACAGATCTTCTTGGTCATTTGTCTATCTGTCAAAGTGGTGGTCTGGATGTTCATGATGGTCTCCAAGATATGCTTGGTGTCTTCGAGATCGGGGGAGTCATCGGATTCAATCGTGCTCATGTACGATGATTCGAAATTGTAAGGTAAGTTCATGTCGATAGAGTATTGCATATTGAAGATCAAGCGGCGATCCAGAAGATCCAACAAGATATTACGAACAATTTCTCCCAGATATAGTCCAGATACCATTTTTTCCAGTTGATGCACACCAGGGTTGGTGCTCTCACGGTTAACTTTGTTATCATACATGGTGCGGGGGAGATAGTCGTGATGAATATCACCGAAAGAACCCCATTCGGTATTAATAATCATCTCACTGCCGACGGCATTAGGGTTTCCTTTAATCTTGGGGATATCATCTATTCTTTCCCAATAAGCAGCATTAGTACCTCTGCTGACAGTGCAAGCAAGGAGTGTGTCCAAACTACGATAGTTGTGGGCCAGAAGAAGACCGACTGCTCCGTTCAAAATGGCCTTGACTTTGACGGGGATTGATTTCTTGTTGAGTCCAACTTGAAGTAGTTCCGCCAAATCTTTGCCGTCAGCACCAGTGACATCAAAATCTTTTGTCCACCGAATAATGGAAGCCTTGTTCATAGCAGTTTGGTTCAGTGGGAAGGAAACTACAAATCCAAGTGACATGGGCACATCGATATCACTCTTTCCAATGAATGTCAAAAATGAATCCACGCACTCAGCCAAGAAGTCCACAATGTTCTGAATGTTTGACTTTCTGATGTTATCGTGGATATTATACTTTTGCTGGCGGGTAGTGACACGACCTTGACCATGGAGGGTAACGAGATAAACACGGATGGAAGTACCTAACAAAACAAAAACACCGTATGAGAATCGGCTTGCATAATCGTGGTGTGCGGTTACACTAGCAAGTAGTACCGCGGAAGAAGGGACTTACCGCTCAAATCCAAAGCAAGATATTCACCAGTTTCTTGACCAGTAGGATGTGTGTCAATCCATGAAGGAAGCATGGGAACGCTAGTGTCGTTCTGCTCAAGACCTTCTGTCATTTGTCTGGAAAGGTGAGCAGAGATTTTGGTGAGCTTTTCACTGGGAATATGGAATTCCTCAGCTATTTCTTTCATAGCATTGATCTGATCCTCAACACCCTGGATCTCGCTGATAGCGAAGACAGATTTTCGGCCCATGATTAAACTAAGAAAATCTAGAAATGGGGAAAAAGCAATGAGGTTGGAACACTGAACGGGAAAATACTGAATACTCGGAATATGAAATTTGGTAGCTCTGGTGCCATGGCGTGACTGTCGTCATTCTCAATTTTCCTTGCAGGGGTGTCTTCTTCGAGGAGGCTGTGGACGAGCACCACTTCAACATTGACGAAGTCACTTTGAACCATTTGATTTATAAATCAGAGCATGCCTATTTTTCACTTTCATGCGGGTTTCTATGAGGCCAGTACAATGTTATCGATGGTATAAATCACCGTCAATTGACGCCGGATGGTCGTGTATTTAATGTGAGTCTCTCAAAAATCCGGTTTCAGTCCATCAGACCCGAATGATGGCTTGATTTTTATTTTTATTTTTATTTTTTTTTACCTTGAGATGGCGATATTTTTGAAAATCTAGTTTCATACTTTGACCTGATTGTTGATATCTTGGACCATTGTAGTCAAGCAGCACCGACCTTCATTTCAAGTAGCGCTTCCCTACGACTCAGGCTGGCCAGCCAACTATTTTCTTGCATCAACAGGTAATACACCGTACTACCAAAGCCATGCGGAGGATTTGTCTACCTGGCCATGTTCGGAAGTCATATTTTAATGATGGATGAAGCAACTCCCTCAAAGTAAAATCAATGATGGAAATATCTGACATCAGAATAACGACACTGAGTGCTTTAGCCTCGTTCGGTGTATTTGCTGATAATGAAAATACGTAGCTCGGTTGTAATATGATAGCGATGAAGTTCTAACAACGCTAGTGCTCGTACGTTGGAAGATCAATTGTCAACAGGCACACTGACTATTGAGTTGAAATATTAACATGGCTATAGCGTTAAGCGAGCCTTAGCGTCTCTACTATGCGAGCTATGGGCTACACTTCTTTCAAGTCTTTTCTTAAAGTAGGATATTTTGAATTAAAAGATGGTGCTTTAATATTCAACTGAGCATAATTTGCATCCATACACTTGACAAAGCGTTGTGTTATTGCTCAATGGTCGTTATCAAATGCAAATGCCAAACACAGTATTGAAACTCAACACTATCATCGTGAATCTGATTGGACTAAAGCTGCTGTTGCTGCCTCCAAAACATTTTTTTTTTTAAGGTGTGTGATCCACTATCAGGGTCGTTCCTAGGTTCTCTCTTCCTTCCCTTCTTGTACTATTTTCTATTCTCATCACCATGGCCGACGTCGCATCCCTACCCACTATACCAGAGAAGAGCGAAATTGAGACTGTAAATGGGTATTATTCGAACCAGTATCGCCGCAACCACCTTGTTCTGTTTCTTAATTGATTTGGTTTTTCTTCGCACCAGTGCAAACCAAGCTATCAAAGATTGTGTGAGCGGAACGTTTGGAGGTATTCTCCAAGTGCTTGTTGGTCAGGTAAGGAAGGACCTTGAGTGCTCCCTTTGTCTCCCTTTTTATGGTTGATTTAACAAAGTGACCCTTTCACAGCCTTTCGATACCGTCAAAGTGGTGAGTAGGAAGTAGGATATGCAACATTTCAGTGGTTTGATGACTGACAGAGCCGCATCCATAGCGTCTACAAACACAATCCCGAACCAATCCATTATACTCGGGTATGCTCGACTGTGTGCGCAAAACTCGAGCTCGGGAAGGATATGCCGGTTTCTATAAGGTACGAGCTGACTTTGCGTGAGTGCCAAATGTCTAGTGTTTCCGAAATTGAGATCTAAGCAAGACTGGCATTCAAAATTTTCTAAAAGTTCCCACCCTTGTTAACCATCTTTCATTCAATGTTTACAGGGAACAACCACACCATTGGTAGGCATAGGTGCATGTGTATCGATCCAGTTTGTAGTGCTCGAGTACATGAAACGAACCATGTCTCAGGGTAATCCCAACGTAGCACTCTCCAATGCTCAATTATGTTTGGCCGGTGGTATTGCTGGTGTTGCTAACTCAGTCGTATCTGGACCTGTCGAACACATCAGAACCCGACTCCAAGTTCAGACTGGTACTGGTACAGGCTATTCGGGTCCTATTGATGCCATTAGCAAGATCTATCGTTCTTATGGTATCCGAGGAATTTACAAGGGTCAGATGATGACTGTGCTTAGAGAAGGTGTTGGTTATTCTGCCTACTTTGCATGCTACGAGTGGCTAGTTCAACAGACTATGGAATCGCAGAACTTGACTCGCAAACAAATACCCACCACTCAAGTTTGTCTTTATGGAGCTATGAGTGGATATGCTATGTGGCTTATGATGTATCCTTTGGATATCATCAAGTCCAAGTTGCAAACAGATCATTTAGACGTGTCCAAACGACAATACCGATCGGCAATAGACTGTGCTCGCCAAGTGTTTGCAACTGAAGGTGTCAAGGGTTTCTTTAGAGGATTTGGGCCTTGCATGCTTCGAGCTGCACCTGTGAACGCCGTGACGTTCCTTGGGTAAGTGAAGCCAAAAAAATACACGGAAGACGAGAGGAATATTGGGCTAACGGTTTATTTTAGATTCGAGACAGCCATGCGTGTTTTGTCATAAAAAAAGAGTAGTGGTATCAGGGCGCCAATGTGATTGGCCGCTTCAGAAAATTTTCACGAAAAATAAATAACTTGTATTGCACCTGAGTTTGCTTTTTTGCCACTTTCTTTATATTCAACAAAATGGAGCGTACCTACATCATGGTCAAGCCTGACGGTAAAGATTCTTCCTGAATCTCGTAGAAAAACTTCTGTAGACCACTGTATTGACCCTTCTTTCACGTTATAGGCGTCGAGCGCGGTCTCGTTGGTGAAATCATCAAGCGTTTCGAGGCTAAGGGTTACCAACTCACTGCCCTTGAGCTTATGCACCCCACCAAGGAGCACCTCGAGGAGCACGTAAGTACTTGCAACTGGTATAGGATATCAAGTCAAAAAAATTAACCTTGTCGCCTTTTTTCAGTACTGCGACCTCAAGAGCAAGTCTTTCTTCCCTGGCTTGATCCAATACATGCTCTCTGGCCCTGTTGTCGGTATGGTCTGGACTGGTAAGGAAGCCGTCAAGACTGGCCGCAAGCTTCTTGGTGAGACCAACCCCCTTGCCTCTCTCCCCGGTTCCATCCGTGGTGACTTTGCCATCGATGTCGGTCGCAACATCTGCCACGGTTCCGACACCCCCGAGAACGCCGAGAAGGAGATCGCTCTCTGGTTTCCCCGTGGTATCAAGACCGCCAAGCGTGACAAGAGCATCGACACTCTTATCTATGAATAAATTATAACAAATGTATTAACGTACATTTCAAAAAGTAGTACTTTTTTTCATTTCAATGACCACCTAGGACATAAGGATCCCGCTTGTTATATTGATGTTTGCATTGTGTAAGCCTCCCCTCCCCTTCACCGTTCACTACACTGTGTGTTTATCTTAATACTGTGGGTAAATACAAATTTATCGTGAACAAGATGAATGCGTGCATGATTGTACCCTCTTTCCGAGCGTGCATTCATGTCGATCCTCCACTATCACTGGAATATCTATGTATAATTGGAATTCTATGTATTAGTGAACGGGGACATGTGGAATCTATTGCGCTATGCGTTTTCCACCTGCAAATTACAAAAATATATTAAGAGCTGGCCGTAGTATAATAGATGAAAAGGTCCATTCATCCCTCTTACCGGTAAGAATAGTTTGAATTCAGGCGGCAGTTCGTCTTCACCATACAACTTGTCTGTAAAATAAACCCTTCGAAGCCGGCAATTCGCATGGATTGTCACTCGTAAAGTCTCAACATATTGTGTCCCGTATGCTCGTTTGGTGAAATCAGCCAGATTAAATGTGACCTGGTTCCAGCCAGGGTCCAACCGCATTGGCATAGTGGTGATGTAGGGCTTTACTCTTGTGCTCCCCTAAAGATGTCACATTTGTACTTAGACCTTCGTACCAAATTTTTATGCTTTCATGGCATCTGTTCAACCAACCTGAAAATTTGATGCTCGGAATCTGCGTTTAATGCCCATATCATCCATGATTTCGACTTCAAAAGAAAAATATCGATTCAGGTTTTTGAGTAGTAATACTAGGTATGGCAGCTTTATGCCGAGCGTGCGATCTGGTCGAGGTGGACATGATATGTAGGTGTCGGCTAGATTTGATGATAGGATTTCCAAGGTCAGTGAACTAATGTGTTCGTCAGCGACGCGCGAGATGTGAGCTTTGCTGATGACTTGGGAAGTCTCTTCCGCTGAAGTAGTCTCCTTTGAGTCTGCTTGTGTTATGTGCTCTGACCATAACTGTAGCGGTTCATTTCTGCAACAAGGTCAATGCAGGATCTTGGAATTGTTAGGAAAACTAGATACTGAAAACGTACCCAATACTATAGAATATGGACAGAAAGCCAGACTAGGAAGTTTGCGAATAGAGTCAGGTATTGTCGAATGGGAGTTCAAATCGACCTTGCTTACCTGAAATGTGTTTTTGAACATGAAGGCTCTGAGTTGAGTCTAACAAAATTGGGGAAAATTTCAACGTATTCTAATTGATATTATAACCATTGGTGGCGTATAAAAACAGTTCATGCTTCGGCGAAATCATACCTGTCACCATATTTTCTGTTAAACTTCTTCTTGCTTACGGGATACATAAGATTGACTGTGTGGTGCAAACTCCTATTAGTTATACCATGGGCATCATTATGCACAATGACTATTGACTCCTTACACAGTGGTTTAGATGCTCTGATTATGCTCAATATGCCACTAGTATTTGAAGGCTAATGTATTTTTTAAAACGATTCTACTAAAATTACTCTCCCATTCTTTAAAAAAGGAGCACACCAAGAGATGGATCGCCTTCCTTGTTATGACATGTAATCATGGTAACATGGAAAACCCCCCAGATTACTTGGCTTCGTATATTTAGACATACAAAAGTGCATGAACATCATGGATCTTCTCTACACAAGCACATAATACTGAGATTTTCATCAAACATCATGCATGAGATTAAACTTTCGGACTGTGACAATAGATAATAGCGTGATGGTTACCAGTTAGTCATTCTTCAACTTGGAGTCTCTCTACTAAACTTCGTCGTCTTTCCCCTGCGTATCGTTCTACAGAGTGGATGGGGTGGACTAGCACAAATCATAGGAGAAATCATGAAAAATGAGAGGTTTTTTCCTACACATCTCGTATTTTTATTAATTCAGCTCGTGAAGGCGAGCGAGCCTTGGTTAACAGCATCGTACGAACTTTGTGCTACCCTTCTGCTGCGGATCTGTACGAATGGCTGACTCCATTGATCATCACTTCAACCTTTTATCTTTCGTTGATCTTGCTTTTCTTCCTTTTTCCACTTTTCCCGGGTAAACCCATGCGAGATATATCATCTATCATTCCTGGTTCCCATCGAATCATATTCGCCGCAGTTGTCCTTCTGGCGATGGCTCCAGTGTCTTGGGCTCAAATAGACCCATTGACAGGGTTACCGCCATATGCTTCCCCTAAGGGAAAGACAACTGACATAGATTCATACCCTGTGGCGCCAACATCGTTAGATTGGTCCACCTTGATAGTTAGAATCGTCACCCAATACTTTCTATGGTGGCTTCCCGACTTGTTCCTCATGGTCTTATGGCAAAGGCAGCCTGTGAAACTGTGGCTCATACACAGTATGCGAAAGGTTTTTTTCAACTGGAGGCCAGGCGCCGTATTTGTACAATCATGGCAACCAACCGAGGCCACTGAAGCATACAGAGTCATACTTGGTGGTGAAAAGCTTCCCGGATTGTTTCCCATGCTGTTCACTCTCGCTACTGATGGCTGGACACTTGCGAGTGGAGGACTGTCCGTTTATACGCAATGGGTAACTAGCAATCACGATGTTAGTGGTTGGAACGGCATATTTCGCTTCTATAACCCTATTGTACCGTCTATTGTATCATTCATCAGCATAATTGCAGCATTATGCAAAGCAAGCAACAAAGTGCGAATTTATTTGATCGTCGCAGCTCTAATCATTTGGCCAGCTATCTTTTTTCCTGTATACATTTTACATGATTCTAGCCACATGTATATCATGGAAATCATGGTGTTCATCATACAGCTTAACCCATTCTTAATTATAGGATTGGAGTTGGTATCAATGGTTCTCATTGGATTGGACCGTGTCTTCGCCCTTCCTGTTATCGCTACTTCAGATATCAAACGGACCGGATTTCCGTTCCCATCATTGAACAATTGGGCTTTTGGAGGTCCTTTTCTGGCTCTTGGGATTGTAACGCTTCTTTTCGCGGAGGCAGGCATGATGACTTCCGCATTGGAGATTATGAATTATGTCAAAATCTTACAGCAAAAAGTTGTAGCTCGATTTAAATCCAAAAAGGAGGATGCACGACCTAACGTCTTACCCATGCACCAAGTGTCGGACGAACCTATTGAATCGATTGACAAATCTCCATTGGGAAAGAAAGATAGTAATTCAACCACCAGACCATCCACTTCTGAGCCACCATCTACTCATCAGCGTAATGGGTTACAGTCTAGCGTAGCACAAACTGTCAACCAGCCATCAACGGCGCACCAGGAAGACTTGCAGATAACGAGTGTACCATCACCAACGCTTACAAATTCCAATATTGAGCTCCAGAGCAGGTCCCCACCGCCTGCTTATTCGAGTACCACTTCGACCCCGCGGGTAGATGTGCGGCCACCGGTCCAGACTATACCGACAGCTCATCCAACGGATAGCATAGCTCCAAATACGCAACTTGATATTGGCCAGATTTACCATTTGATAACAGGAAGAAACACGGACGGCGCGCAAGTCGATGCTTCTACGCGCCGCAATACATGATCCTGCGAAGAAGGACGGCGATCACCAAAGTAGTATAGCTCCTATTGTTGGCTTAAAACTAATGTTTATAATTATACTTCAATATCTGGCCATAATGTGCTATAGTAGCTATTCTCATCTTGTATAAAATTATAAAAATAATAATTGCAACGGTATATGGACAAATTAATAAACCCAACACTAAACAAGTACGGCGGGTGGCACAACAATTTGCACCTCAGATTTTACCACGGTGGGAGGACTGCATCCCAGCAGAGGTGGTACTGTCGCTCAAAAAGAAGTGTCTCGGATGACAAAGTCGGATTTGCGGAAAGCCCTACTTATTTCTGCCTAGCAGCATACATTTTCTGTAAATCTCCCTTACCACCAAAGCAACACACAACTAAACATACTGGCTAACAAATTACAGAAAATATACATCGCTTAATCTTTATTAACGGGAGTCATATCATGGAGGGGAGCACCGTCACGGAAGTTGGCAGTTCTCGCCTTGAAGTCTTCGGTTTTGTTGACATGTGGCCAAGGAGTGTTAGGCACATCCTTGCCAAGGAAAGTACACAGCTTTTCCCAACCATCGACACCAGTCTCGAACCAAAGGAGTCTGTCTGCGGGAACATAATTTCTGACATCCTCGTCGTGTTCTTTGAACTTTCGGACCATGGTTTCTCTGTCTTTCTCTCCCTTGACCTCACCGTCCCAGATGACCTCCTTGGCCATGCGCTGGCCGTTGACAACATGAGCAGGCATACCAGGTTTGTTCATCATCTCCGTTGCGGGCATAATGGTGTTCATAACACTGCTATACCACTTCTCGGGATCTCGGGTGGTGTGGATAACCTTTGCATCGGGGTAGACTTCCATAAGCTGCTTGTAGAAGGTGGAGGATGGCCAGTCAACGGCGGCATTGAATTTTCCATAGGCACGGTTCCAGTCCACATCTTTGCCTTCCCATGCTTCGATGAACACTTCGGCATCGGCATTTGGATCAGTCATGATAACGATCATATGATGGACATCATAGCTGTAATAAACGACGTGAGTATAGAGGCAGACAACATTTTGATATGATCCCCGTGATAGTTACCCAAGTGTGAGTAAAGCCTCGCGCATAGCAGCAGTTCCAGTACGTCCCCAGCCGGAGCCTATGATTTGAAGAGGTGCCATATTGTAATAAGTGTTCTGTAACAAGGGAGGTTAAAGTGAAACAAGCTCTTTTATATGCGAGATACGATCCCCCAGAGTAAACTGTATTCAGCATGTCGGAGTTTGTATTGCGTCATATCGCGCAAACGGAGAAGGGTAAATTCTGCACCACCATTGGAGCGTTGCTGGCTAAATGGCTGATAGGACATCAAAGGTTTTCGAGTCAGTCATCGCTAAGGATGTTGTTTTATTGCAAGCTCAAAAGTTTTGAACAATCTGTATAACTGCTTGTATCACCGTTTCCATGACTTTAAGAATCTGACTAATAAAGTCCTTGTAGATACGGCAAAACTTTTCCGAATATTTTCTTGTCGGTTTCCAGATGACTCAGGAGCACGCTAATATTTTCTAGTAGCCATCCCTGGTAGCACCAGTTGGGATCATTGCATGTTGACCTTGCATAAGCAAAGTTTACTGGCTTTACTAGCATCAACTTTACCTTCTACACCCCAGCCATAACCATTTAGCTGTCTCCACGTACAGTTGCGCAGGTGGTACCCCGCTCAAAGAAAAATGCGAAACTTTTCAGGCAATATCAATGCTATGTGCGGTGATGTACGAGCACACTGCTCTTCTTTTGCACCATTCGTGTAATACCTCAAACAAATATGCTCCACACGGCAGCCAACACCTTCGACACAGCGGCGTATTGAGATATCATTTTGTAGTAACTTGGCTACCACTCTCAGTTTTGTTGTTAAAGGAGTCGATGTTCCTATGATTGCTAAGCCTTTATTTACGTGACATGATTGCTTTATTGAGAGCATGCATGGACATTGCTGCGGATACTGCTGTGTGCTTTGCCTCTTTGGTTGACTTGGGAAAAACGGTATTCAGTCACATTGTCTCCTTCAGCCGGCGAAGGCCAGCGAACCCTTGCCTTTCATACCGAATGGTAGTAGCAGTCCTAATCAGCCACCTTGTGAACACAATATGAGGAGTTTATTGATTATAAGGATGAAGTGCTGGTTGACAGCGAAGTGACAACCATTAATGTTGTGACCAAGCCAGAGTGGAAATCATCACGGTCCGTGCCATGTAAGCAACCTACATAGGTGTGTTGAATACTTCAGCTATGGCTGGCTAATGAATTCTTCACTGTGGAGAATACGGTCTACTTGGAGCATCCCTTGGCAGCATGGCTAAGCAACTATCTGCGACCTCTGTAAACCAAACCAAGCCTCAAATCAGTGAAACGCTACACATGAAATCAAAGGCGGTTCCCAACCACTAACCTTTCTGCATTATATACATCGCCACCGCCTCCTCCCATATGGAAGATACGGCGAGGACGTTGGGCAAATCGCTGTTGCTTACGGTCTTCGGCTGCAGCTGCAGAGGGACGTCAGTTAGCCCTGTAACGATGGTGCAATGAGGGGTGACTCTAGCTTACCAGTACGGGCGTTGGCTTCCTCCCTTTCTTCATAGTTGAGAACAATTTGCTTCAGTTGTTGCTGCTCTTCCCGTTCAGCTTCTTGTTTGCTACGCGTGTTGATGGCAAGTAGAGAGTCGGACGGGACTTCCATAAGCTTAACTTGTTGTCGATTGCCTTTCTTGGTCAAGAGCGTAAACGACATGTTACCATCGGCTTGCTCGTTGGAAGCAGCAAAGGTTCGTCGATCTTGAAACAATTACAGTATGTTTAATTTGAGACACCAAGAGCTATTTTTTCATGTTTTTTCTTTACCTTGACCTCCGCGAAGGTGCATTGGAATGGGAACGTCAAGCATGGCTGTTTTCTTTTCGAATTTACGAGATTCGACGCTTTCGCTCATCATCCTACTGAACTCTTTCTCGAACTCTTCGTCTTCTTCTACTTGCTCTTCCCGCTTTTTAAGCATCACAACATCTTCGTCCTCATCTACAGTTGGCCCAGCCAAAGATTCTTCGTCTGACATATCTCCAATTTCATCTTCCTTGTCTTCTATCACGTCGTCATCATCACCTTCATCGCTTGACGAGCTTTCTGGTCCACTATCTTCAAAACCATCCTCTTGAAGCTTGACATCACCACCTATTGACTTACGGTTAAATGCATGAAAAAATATATAGCATATTTGATTGATCACATTACCTTGAACAGTCTTTAACTGTTCTAACAACATTTGATCCACCGCTTCATTTGCATCTTCATAGATTGTTGCAAGCTTGAGATTCGGTCGCAACAGTTCCAACGTATCCATCACCATAAACTCCACGTCCATAGGTGGTTTTGACTTGGACAATATATACATCTGAATACGAGTGAGTAAGCTGCATTCAACGTCAAAGGTATAAGATTAAAATAGGACCTACCTGGAAGAATATCAAAAATGAATCCAGCTTCTTCTTGGCACTTCCTCTATCAAAACACATGCCACAGGTATCGAGTAATGTGCAGCATAACCGGACACGGAAAAAGTCATCAGGAGCATCTATAGGACAGAAGCGTTCTCTAGATGGACGCCCTAGATCTAGGAAGAGGGCACAGTTAGGAAAACCTTGAAGTTGACCATAAAATATGTTTTCCCCATTCAAACAAACTTACCATGCCCAAGCGTAACAATGGTATATAAAGTATCGAATACAAGAGCAGACTCTATCATACGATAATTATACAGCTCTCCCAAATATTTAGCGGTAGCGATACGCCTTTGATTGTGCTTGAAGATGTTCATCTACAAAAGGTACAGAAGACATTAATGGAGGTGCTCATACTTCACGCTCTTTTGCAAAATTCCCATCGTACCTCTAAACCAACTCTGATTTCCTCAATGACACTGTCCACAAGCTGCACGCCAAAATCCGAATGGTATCGATTCAATCCACTGGCGAGAATGGAAATTAAGTGGATATTGCTATACTTGATTTTCCAAATCTTTTGAAAGCACTTGTTCATGACATGAACAATCTTCGGATCAGTCCAATCCAACTTTCGGAACTGCTTGAGGATCTTCTCCAATGTTTTCTTATTCAAGTCCCCATAGACCAACTTTCGAATGTATCTTTCCAGCGGTGGTCGCTCCTTCTTTACGATGGCTGAGCGATCTGGTGGGTTGGCCTAATATGGATAGTTAATACCGAATTCGCGCATAGCGTAGTGCGCTGATCGTACATACCTGATAGTACGCGTTTTCAACCATGAGGATATACCGATTATCAAGATGCTGAATGTTTTTCTTGCGCATGACAATTTCAAGCTAGATAGACGCAAGGCATTAGTATCTAACCAGCATAAGTAGGTGTACTGGTTAGAAAGCACTCACCATATTGCCCATGCGGACTCCGGTTTCTGGAGACTTTAGCAAGAAGCGACCACATGTCTCAAGCAAATTGCAGACAATATCGATGTTCTGATTAGTGAAGTCGTCCAAAGCAACTTTGAAAATATGGAAGATAGTGTGAGCTGGTGTGATTCTGAACTTGGTCAGTTCTGCTAGGTATCGTATGTTCTGTCATTGATAAAAAGGTAAATGCCATGCGTTTAAACAGAGCAGTACAACGTTCAGAGCTACGAACCTTGACACGAGTCTCCAATAGATCTGCAGACTTTTTGCGGAAGAGGCCTTTGAACTCGTGCTCCAGCTGATGGAAATGATGAATTATTATGGACAGAAAGAGAGATGTTTTGCAGCTTGATTCTGTACTTACGGTTACCAATATGGCGTCCCCAATATCGGGATAGTAAGGATTCAAAGTAGCAATCAGTCGAGCATAATAAGGCAAGAGATCTACACGGGTGCGAGGCACGGACAGTAAGGTCTTTTTTGTTTTCAGAACGTTAGTACATCCTACAGACAGCTTTTTACTCCGTCTTCCAAAATTCCCCACCTTTATCAAACGCTTTCTTGCCGACTTGGAGTTCAAATAACAAAATTCGACCGCAACCGAATCAATCATGTCGCGGTTGTTCAACGTTGGCAGACGGGCAAGAAGTGCATCTAATTGCACCATTTGCGTCGACTTTATTCCGGTTCCACCGTTAGCTGCATCGTCTGCTTCTTCTTTGTCCATCAGGGAGCTTGAGAGATATGAGTAACAGATCCATGCCAAGGAAGGAAAAGAAAAAGGAACACCTACTCGACTGTACCGTCAGCTGCTACATCAAGCTCGGTATCTTGATCCGCATCAGCCACTTCCGACTCAGGTTCTGCACCGGCTTCATCAATGTCGTTCTCATCGATCTCCAAGTGCTCCATCTTTGAAATCAAATCATTTTCCTTATCGCCATCCGTCTCAGCAGGTTCGCTTGATGCATCGGGAGACTTGGCTGTTTCGTTATCCGCATCTGTGGCACCATCACCAGCTGTTTTACCATCCTTTCCAGCATCCTTTCTGGCGGCAGATTCTAACAATACACCGGGTACAAGGACTTTGAGATCAGCTAATTTTTCGTAAAAACTTCGAGCATCCTCGTCTTCCCAAATGCCGTTTTCCACTGTATCCTTGTTGTCTTCGGAAAATGTGTTTGTGCCATTTGCACTGATGATTGACATTTTCGTTGTACCGTCATCGTCTGGTAGTTCAGGCATTTCCACATCCAAAGCGTCTGCCATGCTAAAACGTGTATATAGGGTGGTTATTACCTAGGTCAATAGGAGGTACGGTTAGGAGAGGGGGGTAAAACTTACGTTTGAGTGTTACTCAAAAGCTTTTCATAGGCTTTGGTCAGCTTTTCGTAGTTTTGCTTCGTTTCTTCATTCAGCTGACCTCGGGAAAAGAGGATTTCATGGTTGCGCTGGTCCATTCTCTTGATGAATTTGTGTTCCTTTACCACATGTTTTTCTAAAGTTTTGTGGTAATCCATCATCAAGGTTTTAAAGGCTTCTCTCGTGGCCTTGTTGACCTGTGAATCTGCCGCTTCGCCACTCGTAGGCATGTTTTTAACATCGTCGGGCAATTCATTTGAAGCCTGATCGGCTGCAGCTCGTTGCTTTCTTGGGGTAATACCGACTATTTCACTTCCATAGTTCTTCATGAAGGACGCTGCGAGCAGCAAGTTGGCATGTTGCGTTTTGTCGTTGGCGAATAGATCGCGCAAGATAGAGTAGACGAAACCATGTCCCGACTGCGCATCTTGATCCGCCTCTTTTGCATCCTTCCCTTTCTCTTTGATGGATGAACCAGACCCCACCAATCCTGCAACATTATCTCGTTGTGTTTCCATTCCTTCCAAGTTGACAGCTGCAGGAGTGGCAACACCATCACTGACGTTCCTTAGAACATTGACAAGCCATAGCTCTGATGCCAGACGAAGGTATGTTCTTTGCCGAAGAACTCGACTTGTATCCTCTTTCTCTCTCTGTTCAGGAGTGAGGGATGCTAATTGTTGTTTTGTAGGTGGTGCCAGTACTTTTGCAAGTTGATATGTCAGTAGCAAAGTGAAACTATCGGGAAATCGTTGATGAAGGGCTGAAATGACCTGTCAAGCATGAAATGGGTTAATTTTTCATGACGGCGGTTATAGGAGACCCTAGACGGGTCAAGTAATGCTTACTTCAACGCATGAGGTTACGTCTGAACTGGTCTTGCATTTGGCCATACCCTCAATGACGGCACCAACGATCTCTGAAATATATTTCTCGAGACTTAGTTTGTTAATGTCGTTCAGCAACTGAGTCTGATAGTCAGCTTGCAGTGATGTCTTGCATTTTTTGATGAATGCAGTGTTTTTCTTAATGTTGCTATCAAGACTGCGGAACTTTGACGCATCTTGAACAGGTAGTGAAGGTATTAGTCAATGGAGGAACATGGGGGACATGATCGCGAGCCCTCAACACACACCTGCTTTGCCTCTGGACCATGCTTCTTCGTTGGCTGAGGCCAGTTCCTTTCGCCTGACTGGATCCATTGAGTGTCAAGAGCAACGTGGGTCACGAAAAATTCGGAGTCAGGACCGCCCAAAAAGTCACAATTGATATATTGTGAGGGCGGCTGCTTTTCAACTTGGCACTTCACTCATCCGCCATGATCAGCGCATTCTTCATATATAATCAGAAGGGAGAAGTGCTTATCTCTCGATTATATCGACACGACCTAAAGTAACCTTCATCTGGAATTTCTCCTCTATCCACCGCCCACCGTGCTAACATTACCCTTGCATTGCAGGCGCTCGGTGGCCGACATCTTTCGCATTCAGGTCATCTCGAACACAGACGTCCGGTCACCCATCATCACCCTCGGCTCGACCTCCTTCTTCCATGTTCGCCACGAAAATCTATACATTGTTGCAGTCACCAAGTGGAATGCCAACTCTGCTTTGGTGTTTGAGTTCTGCTACAGAGTCATTAATATCGGAAGAGCATATTTTGGCAAGTTTGACGAAGAGGCAGTCAAGAATAACTTTGTGGTGATCTACGAGCTGCTGGATGGTAAGTCCCATCACTCGAATATTTGCCTGCCCGTCCTCCCTCCTAATTAACGTGTGCCGACTCTCATCATAGAAATCCTGGATTTTGGATACCCACAAAATAGCGAAACAGATACCCTAAAGATGTATATTACAACCGAGGTTGTCAAGTCAGAGCGAGCTGTCGAAGACTCGAGCAAAATTACCATCCAAGCTACAGGTGCTACGTCCTGGAGACGAAGTGATATTAAATACAGAAAGAATGAGGCTTTCATTGATGTTATTGAGAGTGTTAATCTGTTAATTAGCAACACGGGTAAGTATTTACGGTTTTTGCTTATGTTTTGAGACCATGCGACTCATTCATGCTGTTTAGGAACTGTACTTCGTGCGGATGTATCGGGACAAATTCTTATGAGAGCATATCTGTCAGGTACTCCAGAGTGCAAGTTCGGTTTGAACGACAAGTTGTTACTGGACAAAGATGCCGTGACAAAGTCAAAGTAAGTGTGTTAGAGAAAAGACTATTATCACATGCATCTTTTTCTCATTCATTGCGCTTCATTAGCCCTTTGCGTAGACCCAATGCTGTTGAAATTGATGATTGTCAATTTCATCAATGCGTTAAGCTTGGAAAGTTCGATAGCGACAGAACCATTAGCTTTATACCACCCGATGGCGAATTTGAACTTATGAGGCAAGTATTTAAAATGGCCTCAACACCATGTATGAAAGAGAGGATTTAGATTAAACCAGTGGCGCCCCTTTTGCAGATACCGCACAACAGAAAATGTGAATTTGCCCTTCAAGGTCCATCCTGTGGTGAATGAAATTGGGCGAACAAGAGTCGAATACAAAATCAATGTCAAGGCCAACTTTTCACCAAAACTTTATGCACACAATGTCGTCCTCAAGATCCCAACTCCTCTCAACTCTGCTAAGGTCGAGGTCAAGGTTGGCGCAGGAGGAAAGGCGAAATACGCACCAGCTGAGAACTGCATCATATGGAAGTAAGTCATTGACTGCGCTGCAGTGTATTCGGGGAATGATATGTTGACTTTTGGCGGTTGCAGAATCCCACGTTTCCAGGGCCAGTCCGAGTTCACCTTGAGCGGAGAAGCCGAATTGTCGGCTATGACACATAAGAAGGCCTGGTCACGGCCTCCAATTGCCATGGACTTCCAGGTTTTGATGTTTACATCTTCGGGATTGCTTGTTCGATTCCTCAAGGTGTTTGAGAAGAGTGGATACCAATCTGTCAAGTGGGTTCGCTATATGACCAAAGCCGGCTCATATCAAATCAGAGTAAGTTTTTGGGAACGGCCGTTTATTGCTGTACTGAAAGGATTGGTTGCTAACTTGGATTTTCTCTTTTGAACACTAGTTCTAAGCCCTTGTATGTGGATGACAATGGGCTCAAGTTTACCGAACCCATGTCTAAAAAAATTAATTCAACCATCCAAAGTGACTTTTGCACCCGAATAAACTTTTTATACAACCCCAGTTTTTTTTTCCACTCATTTCATCCATCATTCATAATGAGTTACGGTCGTCCTCCAGGTGTTGAATCCTTCTCTGGAAAGCCTCCCGCTCTTGGAAGCTTTCCTCTAGATCACGAAGGTAAGGTGCCACAACAAACGCTTGATGGCGTGCAGAATGCAAAGACTGACAGACACATGCTGGTAGGTGAATGCAAGGATTTCATGAAGGAATATATCAAATGCCTCAGAGCAAACAAGAACAACAATGGAGCCTGTCGCGAGTTCTCTCGGGCTTATCTTCAATGCCGAATGGACAAGTGAGTTTACAACCAGGCAAATGGAACAGGATAGGAACGATGGATTGAACAATTTATTTTTTTGCAGCGGTTTGATGGCGCAGGATGACATGAAAAACCTCGGATATCAAGACGCTAGCAAACAACCAGCCAGCGGAGAGCCCAAAACATGAGCACACACAGTTACGAAGTGTGTGTAGAACGAAAAAGCTTACTGTGAGCATAGTACAGTATCTTGTGTATCATAGCCCCCGTTCAGTTGGTAGTAGAATCATTTCTTACAACGTAGTCCATGTAAAATGTGAAGCCTGAAGAGACAATCTAAAAGCATAGATAAGATTAGCCCATAGAAGTGTCATTCTTAATAGAATTTGAAAAACTGTTGCATACCCATCCAACACTGCTCAATATCCAGTCTGAGAAGAATCCATTGGTCGGTCCAACACCGCGGCCAACCGTACGAAGCAGTTCAGTGAGGAAGTCTGTCGTGATGGCATAGTAACCAGCTTCGAGGCCTTTTGTCAAAGAACGAGCGCACTCTTCTGGGGTCTGTCCCTCACTGGCTCCTTCGATCACCTTGGTAACGTGGGGCTTGGTTTGGTTCTACACAAGTTTTCTCTGTTAAGCATGCTTCATCGAATGTGAATATTGGGAGCCAAGTCCACCAACCTCTATTTCAAATCCAGGAGTGAAGATTGTACCGGGGAAGAAAATGTGAACGTTGATGGTATAACGTTGCAATTCGTTACGAAGCGTGTCGGCCAAACCGCGAACGGCATATTTAGTCGGCGAATAGGTTGACCATCCAGCAAAACTCATTAAACCCAATACTGATGAAACGAATACAATCTTGCCATCCTTGATTTTAGACTCCACCATTCGCTTTGCCGCTTGCTGATAAAGAAGTGTGTCAATTGAGTGTTGTGAGATAGCTAAACAACGAGTGTATCCTTACGTGGGCAATATAGGCTTGGCCGAGGTAGTTCAAATTGGAAAGGAATTCGAAATCTTCCATGGTATGATCCAAAAACATCTTGGGGAACGAGGCACCTAAGACGGATCCAACCAAACATGAGGATCAGCATGCGAAATAACCCCACCCGGCAGCTGCTGCCACCCAACTTACCAGCACAAGCAAAAACATAGTCGGGATCCCGGTTCATCTTTGCTTTGGTTTCATCAAAGATGCGAACAATATCGGTTTTCGAGGTCACGTCAGCACTGACGGCGAGAACGATCTGCGACGCATTAAGCTTCTTAGCCTAAATAAAAAAGTGACGGTGAGTCTCAAACAAGGTTCCAAGTATTTTACAGCAGCCCATCAAGGTACCTCGATCTCCTTAACGGCGACAGCCAGCTCTGCTTGTCTTCGGGCAACAATGACAACGTCAGCTCCAGAAGCGGCCATGGAAACAGCCAAGGCTTTGCCGAGTCCAGTGCTGCCACCGGTAATAAGGCAAAGCTTTCCAGCTGGGCGAAAAGGCGGACGTGTTGCTCGGCGGTAAATGACCTGTGCGGTGACAGTGGCGACCAACACCACGGCAAGCGAGATGAGAGCAGATTGCCAAGGATGAAGCTGTCCGACCATTCCGCTGTAGGGAGTAAGTTTGAGAATGTGATCAACCAGCGACAAAGGCATTCTGACTTTTTTAGAAACAAAGCACAAGAAGTAAGTTGAAAAAAGTTGACTTTCAATTTCCATAAAACCCACTCTCATATTCACTAATGGTCCAGAGTCTAAATGTGTCTGGCATTGTAAATGCTTTTCGAGTTCTTCGCAACCCAAGCCTAATTATCCCTCACTTGGTTGTAGATGGTAGGTGCCTGAACGTCAGAAAATTGGTTTACTTGAACCGGCTGCCTGAACACACACACACTTTTTCAATTTTTGGTAGACATACGGCAAATCGATTACAAAAAGTTGAAGCAACAGGGAGTCAAGGTGATGGCTTTTGATAAGGATAACTGTTTGACTGCCCCATACGAGAACCGTATATCGGCTGATTTTGAGGTATAGTCGACGCTTGGTGTATAAATGTTGGATTTCCTCTATACTCATCCCACCACATAGCCGGCGTGGAAGCTTTGCAAAGACACATTTGGTCACGACCGAGTGATCATTGTCTCCAACTCGGCTGGTACAGATGACGACAAGAACCATCAACAGATAAGTATTTTCTAGCATAATTTGTTATAGGAGCCACCAGTGTAGACTGACACCTCTTTTGGACCATTTACGCTGATGAGGTTGAAAGCGCTCTCGGAGTGCCTGTCCTGCGACACGCCATTAAAAAGCCAGGTGGTGGAGGTGCACTATTGGAGCGGTTTCAGCACGTCGCAAAGCCTCGAGAGATGGCCATGGTGGGGGACCGCTTATTCACAGATATACTTTTCGGAAACCTGAATGGCACCGTCACCGTCCTGACGCGGAAAATCATTAGCGAAAAGGGCGACAATGCTATAGCGGCGAGAGTAAGTTTCACAAAGTCTGTTTGATATATGTCTACTGATGACTGATGGAATATTGAACTAGATACGACGGTTCGAGCATCGTTTGCTGGACTTTTTACTGAAACGGAAGGTAGACCCTCCGACAATTGTTGATAACTAGGGCGTGAAGTGTCGGCAAGGAAGCAGTGGCTGGATAGAGAAGGAGCAAACCTCTAAAGGTATAGAAATGTACAAAGTAACTTTAGCTCAGGGTGTCTCTACATCCTGCTCCATATCCATTTCCTATGGCTGAGAATGAGGGCTGAAAATGAGGCACTGTACAATCAATAAAGACGAAAGGTTGCTGTATTGCAAATCCGATTGATTTTTTATACATGGAGCTCAGTTGAAAATTACAAGCTTAAATAGAGAGAAAATTACAAGTGGGGGTTTTTTTTAGCAACAAGATGTAGCCAGTGGTTCTTTCCTACGCAACACTAGTCGCGCATATTAGTGACGATTTGCTTGAACCAGTCTTTACCTAGAGTATAATGTCATGTTAACTAAAGCGGTGCGATACTGGCTACAGACGTAGAAGAACCTACCTCCTTGGATCAAGATATTCTCTGGCTCGCCTCCGGTTTCAAATGTCCATAGCTCGCCATCATGAAAGGTTTCAATTTCTTGCCAAGTGGGAAAAACAGGCGTGTTATCGAGGGGAACCTCTCGACCGGCAGCGGTTTTTATACCTGTAATTTTCATAGTCCGTAACGTGGCTACGACATGAATTCTATGGGCCAACGTCTTGCCTGTATCGCTAGGCTTGATGGCTATCCACACACGATGGCCAGCTGTGAAATGCTTAGGTAGCTTGCACGTGATGTGCCTATTCTCTGATTTTTCTGTGTTATAATGTGTCAGAAAGGGATGTCTCCAGCGTGGGATGGGATATGCTATACATACCTTTAGGTAAATTAGGTGGTGTTTGTGGTAAGGCTTTTCGTTCCAAAACCTGAGTTCCTGGTACAGGTGTATCGACACGGTAAAATCCAAATTCATTGTGCGGAACTGAAACATACATCTCGTTAAGAAGGGCTACTACAATGCGCAACAACCGTCCATATTACTTACTTCCAGCAAGGACGTCTCCTTGAAGCATAGCAGGTGGTAAGCTTGGAGTGATGGTAGGCGGATACAAGGGTGGCTCGGCAATGGTGTTTCTACGAGCGTCAGTGGTAGGCGATTCCGGGACACTCTTACTCCTGCTGGGGATAGGTTTCGGCGTCATCGGAATGGGCGGCCGCAAAAGCTTGGGAGGTTGTGTGGTACGCGTATAGGGTTGTGGAGTTCGCGTCATAGGAGAGAATTGTTCAGGGGGAGTTGATTTCGAACGATGATGTAAAGGCGAATGATACAGAGCCGGGGTATTGACGCTAGCGACAGTAACCTCATGAGCCATCTCCACCTTTTCATCTGGCTCTGCCGCTTCATCCTCGTTTTCAATTTTGATGCTTTCATCCGGGGATTCGTGGATAGTCTTGGATTGATCGGGATTGCCGTTGAGAAGAGCGTTGAGGCGCGCTTGCATTTGACGAAAGTTGGCTGCCGATTCGGGTCGCTGTATGTCAGCGGCAACACTAAGGCTGGGCCTTGGCTCATTATTTGCGCCGGATGGATTAAATTCGCCTTGATCTGCTGGATGTACAGCCTTGGACGTAAAATATGAAGAACCTTCGTTCACAACAACATTGGGTGATTCGCTGTCCTTCTCGATAGCATTTGTATCAGCAAAAGGGTCTACAAGGTCAATCGGTTGATCTTCTTGTTCTTTAGACTGGCTGCTCGGCGCTTCATCTTGACTCTTTTCCGATCGAACAGGTTCCACACTCGACTTCTCCTCTACCATCTTCTTGTGGGCCATGGGACCAACACGAATCACAAAATCAGAATAGTCGTCAGAATCACTATCTGAGTCACCCAAGCGAGTTGCCACTGTTTGTATCTTGCTTGGGCTTCTCTTGACTTCAACCAATTGTTTGTCTCGGACATCATCTGGCTTGCCCACTGTAAATTGGCTGAGGCCAGGCTTAGATAGTGGTGTAGCTTGGTGTGCCCATTCATTATGTGGTGATTGTGCTGTAGCTGGGTGTGCCCATTCGTTTTGCGGTAGCTGTGGCTGCGCTTTTTGCCGATTGTTTTCATTGTACTTCCATTCCTGCTGATTGGCATACACTGGAGTATAAGACGAAGAACTATTCTCTTGTTGATTCGCTTGTAGTGGTTGATAATGATAGTATTCTTGCTGGGAAGGAGAGAAATCCTGATATTCATTGTATGCATCGTTCGAGTAAGAGTTCTGAGGAGGACTAGAAAGATAATGGCTGTTGGATGGAGGCAATGACATCGGCTCCGGTCGGGGTGCAGGAGGAAGTGCCGGGGCGGTATTTGAATGAGGGGTAGGGACGATGAACATCACAGGGTCGCGTCTCGGGTAGGTAGGAGGCGCTGACGCTGGAGGTTTCGGTGGTATGGTACTGATACTTTGGTATACCTGAGTACTTGTTGGTCGCGTTGGGGGAGGAGAAGGGGAGATGGTAGGTGGGTATGATGGAGGAGACGATCTGCCGCTGCTGTTAGGCTGTGGACCCGTTGGTGATGATCTAGCTGGAGACCGTGGTGGAAAAGTGCTTATATCGACTACTGTAGGGGTAGATGTCGTCCTTATTCGACCGAAAGGCATGGTTTTATGTGTAGTGGGGGTAGTTACTGCCGGGTCTGACTTTACTCGTGGTAGATACTCTAAAGGTACCGAGGTTTTTCTTGGTTAGCTTGACGAGTTAACTAGTTACGGGCGATTTTTATCTTACCGGGATGATAGGCTAAAGGTTTTGGAGGTCTCGCAGGCAATGGCGGCGGTGAAGCTGATCCTGTTGACGATTGTCTGCTGGATCTGCTCTCTTGCGCCTGTAACTCTTTGGCAAGTTTCTCATCTTCCTCAATCTGGGCACGCTTTCTAGCTTGCTCTTGGGCAAACAGTAATTGCTCCTCCTGTTGCAATTTCTTTTGAAGTTTTGTCGACTTGTTGTCGGCAAACAACCTCATTTGCACAAAACGAGGAGAGGGTAATAAAAAAAAAAGGGCTCGAGCTTGAATTTTTCCCCAATCGACGGCCTATTTTTGAAAGTAAACAATTTAAACTCAGGAAATCGTTACGTTTATTGTCATTGAAATCTTGGCATCGCCTTCACCGCCTCAAGAGCAGCGTTTAGTCCCTGTAGACATGCTTCTTTGTCTTCAGGGCTGGTGTTTTCAGTAATCCACCACGGTGCAATGGCTTCGCGGAGCTCTATAAGCTTGGCATGGCTATCAAAATGGGGTATAGTCTGAGGGGTGGCTACGTGATGATGCTCTAATCGCTCGTAAAAGCCCTTTTTCAAAGACGGTTCTGAATTAAGAAATTCGTACGATGCAAAATACTCTTCTGTACAAGGAAACATGCCACTCCACTCAAAATCAAGTAGACCAACTATTTTCAATTTGGTAATTTCATTCTCTTGAACTCTTGTCACCATAATATTTCGTTCATTGAGATCACCGTGAGTGAACACTCTTTGCGGTGCAGGGGGAAGTGGTTGTTCACCGGATTTCATGCTGCGCAAGAGGTTTGATACTTGATCCCCAAACACTCGGAGTAAAAACCCGTATTTATCTTGGCGATGCAAGGTGTCTATTTTGTTTTCTAGTTGATGGATCATCATTTCTTGATATGCATCCCAAGGCCCTATGCACGCTTCAACGGTTTTTCCAAGCTTTAGTGTATCGTTAGCACCAAAAGCGAAATTTCCAATTTGGGATCCAAGGCAAATGTTTTGCTTCAATTCGCCAATATGCACAGCCAGCTGTTCAAGGAGGTCCTGTTTTTGTTTGCTATCCAGGGAGCCCCACTCATGGTCCAAGCTTACACCAGGTAGCTTGCTCATCAAAAGATATTCGTGTCCATACTTGTCGGACGAATTATTCCAGTCCAAGACATCAGGCACGGGTGTGGTTGTGTACTGTTTAGCCAGCCGAATTCCAGCCACCTCTGTGTCCGTTTTGATTTTGGTCCAAAAGCGCCCTTGAACCTTGAGAACACGCACATTCTAATTATGTTTGGAACCATTTCAGTGAAAAGGGCTTGGCATACATTACCTTTAGCACCAGGTTCTCCTCATCATCGACTTGGCAATAATAAATTCGATTGTTGTAGCCCAACCCCGACTCTTTATATGCCTGTAAGGCTGCCCCGGTTGCCTCTTTGACAATAAGTGCAGCATTTTCGAATTCTATGTGAACACCTTGCTGAGGTGGTGGAGTGTTGTCTCTGGTCATACCGTGGAAATTGAAAAGGGCTGGAAGAAGGACGCTGCGGTTTCGAGCTGGTACGACATTCAAGGTGATTTGTACCTGCATCGGAGATTCAATGTTTGCCAAGGGCGGTGTTGGAAATAGCAGCCAATCAGAATTGCTTCGCTGGTCAATCAAAATCGATGTGTTTTGGCTAATGACCATTTCTCTTGTGTGTGATTTCGTTTTCAGCAGTTTAACATTTGACATGCGCAAAATTATTATATACGAAACTGGTTTTGAAAAGGTCGATGAGTGCAAAGTGGCCATAGTTGAAACATTGGCCATTTTGCGAAGTTTATTGAGTACCGGGGATACAAATATGTATAACTTCCTACACCTCCATGCCGATTGCCATAGGGCGGAATGGATTGTGTCCACGTCAGATACGCTATAATAAAACCGCGTTTATGTTAATCCTTTCCTGCATTCTGCTTTTCTTCAGTTTGTTGGAGGCAAGAAGCTTGGCCAGAGCAAACATAGCCGTTAAACAATTTGTAACAAGGAAGAAAATGAGTGAGCGCCGAGTAAGAAAATGGAAAAAATTATGAAGGCTTTAGATAATGCGCTTTAAATCCAACACAGTGGTTTGTCTAGAATAAATGCTAAAAAGCCAGTATGAATTACGGCCTTTATGACCTTTACGACCTTTACGAAATTCGTTTTAGCGAGAACCTGGGTATGAAGAATTCAACTTTAACGATATACCGAAAAAGAAGATGTAGAGCAGGCTTTATTGCTAGTTCGGTTACCAGAGGGCAGACCAAACATGAGCCTGGGAAGCTTTAATTATGTCCGCAAAGTTTACATTACTTGCTGGAAGCGCTGGTCTCATACGATTAGAAACATTGAATATATTCAAACTCTCCAGAATATGGTTGCAATTCTGGGATTCAAAATGAAAGCATTATGGCTTTAATACAGTGGCAAGCGAAGAAGTGTTTAACATAGTTGTCATGTTTCAAATGCTTTGAATCTGGGGGCTCTTGTGCTATCATGAAACTTCCTAGTCAATACGAGGTTGTTGCTCAGGGAGGTTTCGTGTAGTTGAGAAACGCGGCTGGCAACTTTTTGCAGGAACTTGCACTGACAAGCAAAACAACCAAGAAATAATGTATATTGAACGGTGTTGAGCTATGTGATTCCAACTCTTTTTGCAAGTAATCTTTGACTATGTCTGCTACTGGGTATCCGCATAGGTAGCTTGCAGTTCGAACCCTCACTATTGACATCAGTGAAATTTTCCTTGACATTTTCCTTTTATTTTATGTCTTCTTCACCAGAATTCGTCTCGATACACATGAAACAAAACAGCATTTAAAATTTTGTAAGACCATAATTTTGTTTGGTCATGGTGTATTCATTGCCAAAGAATGAAGATATACCAGCTTATCTCAAGATAAACTTTTTATGTACTGCTTGACCTATGATTGCCTTGCTTATTTCATCTACGATTGCTTTGGGCTTACCTTCCAGTGGATTAAAGTATCCTGTCGTTGCTTGTTGAGCTTCAAAGGCGAGACTGATGAGAGAAAGTCTCTGCCAAAATCATTGCAGTGACTGCTCTCTTACTGGCTGAGCCGAAAAAAAAAAAGTGTTCAGAAGCCCATGCAAGAAACTAGCGGTAAATTTTTTATCTCTTATTGATTTGAATACTCTTTGCCAACATGGACCCTTCTAAATGGATTGATGTCACCCCCGAAAAGTTCAACTATCACCTCGACCATTTCGTGATCCCTACCCATTACGAAAAGGATGTCTCCAGTATTCTGATTCCCCATGGCGTTATCATGGTAACTTGTGTTCCGTTCGCTTTGATAAACCTTAACAGTGGTTGATAAGTATTCCTCCTTTTCTATCATAGGATCGCGTTAACAAGCTTGCCCGCTTGATCGTCGATGAAAGCAACGGTCCTCTTGGTGAGTGTAGACGAAAAAAATTGGTAAACACCTGCTCCTGCCTGCTAACCATACACATGATCAGTTGTTTGCTGTATCCTTAAGGGCGGACATCAATACTTTGCTGATCTGGTTAATGTTATCAAGAAGCTCACCAAGAAGTCTGGTAACTCTGTTCCTCTTAGCTTAGAGTTCATCCGGGTCAAGTCTTACCATAACGATCAGTCCACTGGTGATGTTAAGGTCTCATTGACTGAGGACGAGTGCAAAGAGTTTAAGGGCAAGGTAGGTTAAAAAGCGCGGCAGCGTTGAAAAAGTCAGCAGACCCGCTGAGCAATCTATTTTCCTCTTTCTTAGAACCTCTTGATCGTCGAGGATATCATCGATACCGGTGCCACCATGGTCAAGTTGTTGGAAAAGCTCAGACAATATGAACCTGCTTCCATCAAGGTCACCAGTCTTCTCATCAAGAAGACCGACCGATCCAACGGTTATATTCCCGACTATGTTGGCTTCGCCATTCCTGATGCCTTTGTCGTTGGTTACGCTCTCGATTATAATGAATACTTTAGAGACCTTGACCATATTTGCGTCATTAGCGTAAGTGAAAAGCGAGTTTGCATGATGTATGACGCGACCTTTAGGCTAATATAGTGTGCCCTTACAGGAACATGGAAAGGAAAGATACGCCAATGCATAGGAATAAAACGGCTTTCTGTACAAAACTGGGGCGCTCACTTTGTAACGTGAACGCTCCTTTGACCACAACATGTTTGCATATAGGGCAACATTTATTATTGGTTGCCCCAGTTTTTAAACTTGTCATTTTTTTTTTATAAACACATCCACTCGTCCCATTTAATGCTTGGAATGGCAATGACTATTTAGAGCTTGGAGGTAAACTTGCCCTCATTGCCTTGCTCTCCGCGTTCTTTGGCAGCCAGTCTCTGCTGTTCGATGGCATCAAAGTGTTCAGGGTTGACAAAGAAATCGGCTCCCAAGTCTGTATTGCCAGGCATGACAGAATATTGATCCATGTCAGTGACGCCCTCGCTTCTCAAGAACAAGTCATCAATGAGGTTGTGGCCGCTGCGGAGACAAGACGTTTTAGTACGGATTATTATAAATTTGGCATATTAACGATGACTCAGTTTACCTAAAAGCAGTAGACTTCTTTGCGAAAATACGACGAGCAGCTTCAGCCATCATTTCAGGCTTTCTAAACCATGGGAAAGAGCGTGTGGGTATTATGTCAGCTGAATTCAAGCTTTTACAAAAGTGTTCGTTGTATCACTGTACCTGCCAATACTGGCCACTGCGTCGCCACCCAAGAGGTTTTTCACAGCCGCGGTTTCAACCACAGAAGCGGGCCATAAAGTATTGACGGCAATACCCTGTGGGCGAAGTTCGCCAGCCAAACCCAAAGCAACCATGCTCATGTTGAATTTGCTGATAGAATAGGCAACATGGTCGCGGAACCAGTCTTCGCGAATAGCTGACAAGGGAGGTGAAATCATGAGGACGTGAGGATTGCGCTTGGACTTTGACAAATGAGGAATGGCGTGCTAGAGATGAAGGCAGATAATCAGCTTCACGCGTAATGTCCATCACGATTCGTTCCCTCCTACCTTGGCTACCATCCAGCTGCCTCTTCCATTCACAGCGTGCATCAAATCATACTTTTTGACGGTGGTGGACGGCGTATCGGTCAACGAGATAGCTGAAGCATTGTTCACTAGAATATCAATTCCTCCAAACTTTTCAACGGTCTTTTGGATGGCATCAATGACCTGCTCCTCGGAGCGAATGTCACAGATGATAGGCAAAGCCTTGCCACCTTGCTCTTCGATTTCTTGGGCTGCTGTGTAGATAGTACCAGGCAATCTAGGGTCTGGCTGTGCAGTCTACAAAACAAGCAGGTTCAGAGTTGGACCACCCTCTTCTGTAGCGTAAGTCTGACAATACCCTACCTTGGCGGCAATGGCCACGTTCGCACCATCCTGAGCGCATCGACGGGCAATTGCTAGTCCAATTCCTCTTTACCAAGGGGTTAGCTTCTATCGAGGGATGAGGTGGTAATGTCAATGGCCTACCTGGAAGCACCAGTGATGAAAATAGTAACACCTTTAAGAGACATTGGATAGAAAAGAAGAAATAAATTTTTTGGACATGACAGATTTCCCCAGTTTATAAAAAGCTATGAAATCACACGTGGAAACGGGCAATGTTAGAGCGGGGAAAGCCTGAAGTCCATGACTCAGCACTTTATTGTTTTTTGTCAGAGTCTTCGGCAAACATGGCTCTGACTTTATCTAAAGACATTGTTCCTAACACTTGTCCTTTACGAGTGCGAACATTAACGGTCTGTTCATCCAATTCCTTTTGTCCTACAACAAAGATATAGTTGTATTGATCAAGTTGAGCTCGTCGTATCATTTTGTTCAGTCTGTCACGTGGAGAAGTGTCTGCATCCACATAATAGTGGGGCATGTTAGACTCTTTGCCACCTAGGATTTTAGCTGCTTCCTGAGCATAGTCCATAAATTGCGTGGCTACTGGAATAACAATGCCTTGTCGAGGACTCAGCCAGAAGGGCCATTTGCCACCTGTGTGTTCTATCAGAATGGCCATCATGCGTTCAATGGAACCCAGGATGGCTCTATGTACAATAACAGGTGTTTGTATGTTGTCGTTTTCATCAGAGTAGCGAAGGTTGAAGCGATGTGGTAATTGAAAGTCTAGTTGGATAGTGGCTGTCTGATGGGATCTGCCTGCGGAATCTCGAATCATGATATCAATTTTGGGTCCATAAAATGCACCATCGCCTTCTTTTATGGTCCATGTTTTTCCCGTGGCATCCAAAGCGCTTTGCAAGGCACTTTCTGCGCTTTCCCATTCCTCCAGGGATCCAATATACCCTTCTTTCGGTCGTGTGGACAATGTAAAGTCATACTGTGGGAACTGGAACGCTGTATACACTTGTTCAACAAATTTTAAGCAGGATGAGATTTCTGGAAGAATTTGATCTTTGGTGCAAAAGATATGGGCGTCATCTTGATGGAATCTTCGAACTCGAGTCAATCCTGATAATGCGCCTGACGCTTCGTTACTGGAAAAGGTAGGAGAATTGAGTATGGAATAGCTACGCTAACGATAAGCACTGCAGACGACCCTTACCGATGCAAAGGGCTAAAGTCGGCGAGCCGAATAGGCAAGTCACGATAGGATTTGGGGGTGCTGTCAAAGATCAAGCAATGACCAGGACAATTCATAGGCTTGAGACCAAACAGACCTTCTTCATCAATTTCATTCCCCTTTTGACCGCCATGCACCATGTACATATCGTCCATATAGTTTTGCCAATGACCACTCGTCTCCCAGAGAGCCTTTTTGTAAAGCAATGGGGTCATGACTTCCTCGTAGCCGAATTTGTTATATTCAGACCTTAAGAATTCTTGCAACTTGTGAACAATTCGTGTTCCATGAGGCAACATAAACACTGAACCAGGGCTGTATGGGTGCGTCATAAATAGACTCTGAGCTTTGCCAATGTATCTATGGTCGGAAGGATCTAGGTCTGTTTGTAGCCAAAGTGAATATACAGCCTATCACTGTTTCCAAGTTCACGTTTTCGCATACCTCTATCGACTTGTTTGGGTTCTGCACTTGTGCTCTGAAATCGAGCGTGTCGCTGGACTAGGGGTGCCTGTAATAGTATTGACTGGCATGGTGTTGTGGGGAATGCTCGCAGCGCTTTCGCCAAAACAGGTCAGATGGAGAGACAAAACAGCCAGGTTAATCCAGAAACTCTACCTATATTTTTTTGAGCTTGTCGAGCAATAGAACTAATGCGACCCCTCCACATGTTGGCAAAAGGTAAATGGGCAACAAAGTGAGGTGGACGGGAGACAAAAAAATTGTGACAGGCAATTTGCCTGGTGAACGCTCTTGGCTATCTCCCTCACCATGCCCGCTAAAGCAACAGAAGAATACCGAATAGCTCTGATGAGCCTGTTATCTCAACTGTCCGAGTTGGAAAGATTAGGCAATGACTTTTTTGGGAAAATGTACGTGTTGCGGCCTTGGTTGTTTAGACCTCTTTGAAACCTCATTGCACTCATTCTCACCAATGCCCACAGCGAAAACACATTTAGTACAGCCTACAGTGGCCCCGAGGCAAAAGGTGAGCGTCCTATCTTGCTTTCTCTTCACACATGTAAATATCTAATAACTTCCATGGGACACTAGCTGATTATCAACAAATCGTGACTGTATTACAACAGCTGGAAGCCAACGCGCGTGCCTCCGGTCTGCTCAGCCTTTCCAATAACGCACCTGAAGAAGGAAAAGCAGATCAACCACCGGCAGCAAAGAATTTAGCCACCAGAAATAGCGAAACCCTGCAAGCTGTGGAGCAAAATTTTACTGAGCGGTCAAGATTAGTAGCCAACGTCCAAGCCGCAATCAATACCAGCACTCATAGAGTCACACATTAAGTAGCATACCTATTTTGAGGACCCACTATAGAAAAAAAAAAAAAGAATTGGATGTGTTATATTGATCTTTTGCACAAATACAATGATGGAGAGCTGGCTCTCACATAGCATGTCGGTTATGATTATTTATGGACACACAGTTCTATTCGTGAATGGTGTTGATGGTTGCAAATAAGTAGCCTGGGTGGTTGCTGATCCATAGTCTGGATGGAAGCTGTAAAGTGAATGAAGGCTGAACGGCCTGATATCATGTCACCCGTAATGGAATGGATCAGGTTGCCATCCAAACTCCATTCAGTAACCGAGCCATTAAGACCACGTGACCGAGCCATTTACCACTATTCCCTCGCCCTATTTCTTTCCGAACTTTCAGCTCCCACACTCTTTGCCCGCTACTCCCAGTTGCCTGCGATCCATCTCTAATGTTACAAAGTCGTGTGATTGCAGCCTTGCGTTCTCACGCTTTCAGGCGTTCCTATTCTTCCATTGGTGTCTTTCCTGATCTGGTCAAAGACAAGACCGTGCAATTGACAAACTCCCGAGGTGTCAATGTGATTCACGATCCTCTTCTTTCCAAAGGTACAGACGGAATACCGGCTCTTAACTCTATGTTTGCGAAATACTCAAGCAACTTTCTATCACAGGCACAGCGTTCAGTATCGCCGAGCGAGAGCGCTTATCTCTCCGTGGCCTCGTGCCCCCCCGGTGCCAGGAAATGGACAAGCAGCTGGCCCGTGTCAAGGCCAACCTTGATGCGTGCGAAACACCGCTGTCTAAATTTGTGTTTGTAACAGCTCTACAGGACCGTAACGAGACTCTTTTCTATCGACTTTTGATCGACAACCTCGAAGAATTAGCCGGAATTATTTATACACCTACCGGTAAGTGTGGGAGTGGTGGGAGAACTCGGTAAGCAAGGTTTCTGATTGGGCTTTCTAGTCGGACTGGCTTGTCAGCGGTTCCACTCTATTTACCGAAGATCTCGAGGAATGTACTTTTCTACGCAAGACCGAGGAGCCATGTCTGCCATGGTGTATAACTGGCCTCAAGAAGAAGTGGATGTGATTGTCGTCACCGATGGATCAAGAGTTTTAGGACTGGGTGACCTGGGAGCCAATGGAATGCAAATCCCTATTGGCAAGCTGAGTTTGGTAAAATTAACTCTGGTTGGGTGTCTAAGAAAATTTAACCTGACTTAACCATTTCTTTTTTTTAGTATGTTGCTGCAGGAGGCATTCGCCCTAAAGCTATTCTTCCCGTGGTTCTGGATGTCGGTACCAACAATGAGCAGTTATTGCATGATCCATTGTATCTTGGTATGGGTCACCCTCGTCTCGATAATGAAGATTACTATTCCTTTGTCGACGAATGGGTACAGGCTGTAAAAGCAAGATGGCCAAGTATGTTGTTGAAAAAACCTGGATACATCTTGGAACACCGTCCATACTAACAAATTTTTTTAGATGCGTTGATCCAATTTGAAGATTTCAAGTACCCTCATGCATATAATTTGCTAAATAAATGTAAGCTTCCGTGGAAAAATGCCCATCCGTCATCCCGACCTCCGGAAGCGTTGCTAAATTCGTTGATCTCCTATTTATTTATTTTAGACCGCGATGAAGTCACTTGTTTCAACGATGATATTCAGTCCACCTCGGCTATTACCTTGGCCGGTATTCTCGCCGCTCTCAAGGCTCGTGGTTTGCAGCAAGAACAGCTGGCTGAAGAACGCATTGTATGCGTTGGAGCGGGCTCAGCTGGTGTTGGTGTGTGCGAAGGTATCATTGACTGCATGGTTGCTCAAGGCCGTGTTCGCACCCGTGAAGAAGCTTATTCCAAAATCTGGATGTTGGATCAGCACGGTTTGCTAGGAAATGCTGCTATTTCATCTAATGACCCAGGTCGTATAGCCCAAGGACCTGACCGTCCTGTCAAGTTGGATGAACGCCAAAGAAACTATGCAAAGATGGATCTTCCTGACCGTATCAGTCTTGAAGAAGTCGTCGAACGAGTGAAGCCCACGGTTTTGCTTGGCTTGACCGGTGTCAGTGGTGCTTTTACCGAAAAGGCTGTCCGTACCATGGCCCAGCATACTGAGAAGCCTGTTGTGTTCCCACTCAGCAACCCTGATACACATGCCGAATGTTCTGCAGAAAATGGTGAGTAGAGAGGTCTCTTTTGATGTGCGCCAAGGTTTCTACTAATCACCCCAATCTAGCTTTCAAATGGACAAACGGAAAGGCTATTTTTGCTTCAGGTTCTCCTTTCAAAGACGTCACTCTGCCAAACGGCCAAGTTTGCAGAACCAACCAATGCAACAACTCTTATTCCTTCCCTGGTCTTGGTTTGGGTATCACCGTGTCGCGCGCAACCAAGGTCACCCCCAGCATGTTCCTTGAGACCGCCAAAACCATTGCCAACTTGGCCTCTCCTTCCCAACTCAAGGAAGGCACTCTCTTCCCTGGCGTAGCTCAATTACGACAAGTTGCTCTTGCTGTGGGAACCCGAGTTTGTGAAGTTGCCTTTGAAGAAGGTGTTGCCAGCTCAAAGTTGAAGGAAGGTGAAATTTTGCAAGAGGTGGTTAAAGCTTCCATGTATGAGCCGGAATATGTCCCACTGGTGTACTCTCCGTAAATTGGGCTGGCCACTACCATTTTCCTCCATATTTATTCTTATTCCAAACAGCAAATTCACGTACATGATATATCAATAGAAATTCTCCTTCATTCACAATTCTGGCATTTATTGGCAAACCCCATCAATAAAACTCTTTTACGGAACACAAGCATTGGGAAAAAATATTTTTTTTAGAGGAAGAAAAAAAAAAAAAAAGGGGTCACAAGCTTTCCGCGCGCGCTCTTCTCTATCCAAATCAAGTTTGTTTGTACAAGTCCTCAAATTTCGTAAGTGGAATAGCTGCAGCACTCAATTCCATCTTGCTCTTGAACTCAACAAGATCCTGAATGCGGACATTTCCACTGGGTAGTTTGGTATGGTCTCTTGTGTGTTTGACAGCTTCTTGTTGAGCAGGGGGTTGACCATCCACAAGGGACAACCTTCTGGCCGTCTTCTTGCTATCCACACTGACCAGAGTGCCGTTCACAGCACCATTGATGTTCAAAGCTCCCATCACCTTGGCCATCAAAGCTTCAATCTCGCTCTCTTCTGCCTTGCTTTCATCAATCAAGAGCTTTCGCAAGATGGCTTCGGCCGAGCCACCCACTTCTTCCCCTTGTTCCATGGCAGTTCGGAGATCATCCATGCTCAAACGAGTCACGCCTTGGGAGGTCAAGCATGTATGAAGGGACTCGATGTTGACCTTGTGGCTCTCCTTCTTGGGCAGCACCTTTTGAGATTGCAGATGGACGGAAATTTTTCGCGAATCAGGCGACGACGGCATAATATACTTGTCAACAAACTCCAACAGAGAGCTCTTGCCGATGGTTTGAAGCTCCTTCACGTCGGTATCCACTTGATCGAATTCGTAATAACCAGAATGAATATGGGCCCAGTATTTGCCTCCTTCTTGGCCTAGGTTCTTGTCCTTCTCTAGCTTCTTGGAAATCAGCGACTTCACTTGAGACTTGTACTCATCTTCTGACATGTCCTCAATCAGCTGTCGAAGCTTGATCAAGAATTCTTCAACGCGGTTTTCCAGATACACCGTATTTTGCTCGCTCTGAATGATAAACCGAAGTCCCATGTTGCCAGTTTGCTTACGAAGTCCACTAAACACAAGATAACCAAGTTGCTCCTTGGTTCGCAGCTGATCGAAGCATGGCTCCTGAGCGATCTGAGCCAACAAGCTGAGACGAGCACGTCTAGGAATTTCAGTCACATTTCCGACCTGTGCGTAGTATTCGAGGGCAGAGTTGACGTTTTCTGGGTCAGACACCTGGCGCTGGTACACATATTTGCTACCGGCTGGCAAGAGTACACTGCGATGGCTGGTCAATTGGCTGGCAAGGAGTGTCTTGGGCTGTAGAATACCTTGCACAATCGTCAGCATATGTCTTGCGTCTTGTTCTGTAACATTGCCATGAGCAAGTGCTTCCAAATGGAGATGCGAAATCAGGTTGGGATAAAAATCTTGAATATCCTTTGCAGTGATGGCATCTAATTCACCCAGCTTTTCGTCATGTGTCCACATTTTGTCCTGGGTTGCATATGACAAGTAGTAGAGAGCATGTTGGTAAGGAGGCTCCAAGCTAAAGTTTTTGTACGAGCGGGAGAGCTGGGTAATACATGGAGGGGTAAATGGGTTGGCCGTGGTGATCATGGGTAACTCGTTTGACCTACCTGGTCCTTGACAAGGTTGAAGCGCTCATTATCCACCTGGAAATCTTTCATTTTGGCAACTACACGCTCCAACAACACGGGCAATTTGTCGTTGTAACCTCCAATACCAAGCTGCCGAAACATGGAGACTTTAGTGACGGCTAATCCATAAAAATAAGCTTGGCCGGGTACTTACCAGCATTCCTTCAAGTTGGTTTTCAATGTTGTAATGCAGTCCCGCCACCTCAGCGTCGTAAGAGTATTCATTCAAGGAGTCCTTGAGCAAATCTGTATACAGTCTGGGGAAAAACAAATTAAACCTGGGAATCTTCCGCCAAATTGCCAGCTCTACTCACCTCGTCTTCACACAGTTACTGGGTGTAGCGTAAGCCAGTGGGTTGCGGAACAAAATCCAAACATTCGCTTTGGGAAGCCAGAAGGTGTCGTCCTTTTTATGCCACAGACGCAAGCTGGAAGAATTAACAATGAGACTGGGCATCTTTTGTGGAGTGTCAATGGGAATCTTGTTGGTCTCAAAGTCGGTAGGAATAAACTCGTTCTTTTCAGGCAAATGGAAGGCGTCGTTCAGTCCGCAAGAGCCAATTTTCTATGACGACTTGACGTTAGTCTCACCCTCATACGCATACATACATACATCCATAGTGCCTGTCTTACCTTTTTCAAATCTTGCTGAATATCTAACACTTCATATTCTGTGCTATACCAACGTTCCTTCTGGGTGGGCTTGACATCGTTGGGGAACTTTTGGCTAGTGAGGGTGACGCGGAAATTGTTGTCTTCCAAGTATCCCAAGTTCTCCATAATAAGATCAGGATCATAGTCATGAATTAAGCTAGGTCCACTGAGAACAAATTGAGGAGGATATTCATGTTGCATCAACCCAGCCAACCGAGATGTGTATTGTGAAGGCGGGTACTTTTCCTTGAAGCGGAAAGCCAACGATGCAAGTGATTGCACTTCGTCAAATATGTTCTTTTCAACACCATGTTTCTTGAGCATGTGGATGTACTGGAAGATGGTGACCAAAACCGATTCGTAATTTGCTGTGTGTAACAGTGATGAATGTCGGTGTCTCGGATGTTACCCCAACTTATCACTCCCACTTACCGAGACCTTCTTCCGTCAAATCCACACTGATTCTGAAAAATTCGAATCCAATACCACCATGGGTTGTACCCACTTGGAGGTAGTTTGCCCATCCCTTCTTCTTCAAAAAGGATAGGATAGACCCAGGGCCTTCGTGACCTATCAGATGTGAGAGGTATCTTCCAGGCTGAGACAGAGGGGTTAGCAGGAGGTCAAGAATAGAGGTGGCACACCATGGCTAAAAAACACTGCATACCTGCACTCGAAACAATGGATGCTGATCAGGGAATGGAAAGGTCATATCCAATGAACGAACATCCTTGACAGGCTTGACAAAGATGGTTTTCTGAAAGGGGATAATAAGTACATACGGCTTTGCCTATCTCGCCTGCCCCCGCCTGCTTACCATCAACTCATTCGACGTCAAGGCATGTCCCTCAAACGCAGGTGGAGCGATGCTTTTGTTTCTAACATTGGTAAACTTTTCAACAGCCCATGTGGTCATTTGATCCAATGATTCTACACCGCCTTCATTTAGTACCTCTTTTCTGAACATGAACTTGCCGTCGTCAACTCACCTCGTCCTAGAATACAAAGCTTCATGATATTCGCAGAATAATACTTGTCGTGAAACTTTAATAGCTCATCTCGTATGTCCAAACCCAACCTTTTCGGGTTCTCTAATAGAGTTTCCAGGTTACCCGTTCCAAAATGGCAGTATGGGTGATTGGGATTGCTCAGAGATTTTTCTAGCTGGAAAATTCGCCAGCTATCCGACTGCAAATTTTTCTTATGCTCTGGCATAGGCCAAAAAAGTTAACCCGGTTTCGTTCCAAGACAAATTCTCCTAAACCTCCACTTACCGGAATCAACAGCTTTGAGCTCTCGCTCAGTACAACTGTCAGAAAACAATGGACTGATAAAAAACTGGGCAAAGCGATCAAGAGCTCCCTCCAGCCATTCCTGGCCAACCTCAAAGTAATAATTTGTGTTTTCCATGCCGGTAAAGGCATTTGAATGACCCGAATGCTCTGACAAGTATTGGTTGTAGTCATTCTCCTTTGGATATTTTTCCGTTCCCATAAACAACAAATGTTCACAGAAATGAGCCAGTCCTTGTAGATCATGCTTAATTTGTCGCACCAATTGTTAGCCTACCACACTCCTCTCCATAGCACTAGCTCTATGTACTCACCGGATCGCTCAAATGACCAACGTGCACATCGAGAGCAGCACTAGCCTTGTCTGTGTCCTTGTCGCGAATTAAAAGCACTTGCAGGTCGTTGCTGGCTATGCGAATTAACCGATAATCTCTATCATCGTTATCGGATTTTTGCAAAGGTTTGGTAAAAGTGTAGTGCTGTCCATTAGATGCAAGTTTCCAGTCGCCTTCTGTAGTGTTGGAAGGAGGAGCTGTATTGGGCATGGTAATATAGAATCGATGGGCGTAACTTCTCAATCGGTATAAACTGCAGGTGGCCAACATTAATAACCCATTCACCCAGGCAGGATCGGACATATAGCAAGGGTACGTTACGTCTAGACGTAGGTTTGATTCTTACGTTCTTGTAGGATTTATTCGCACGAGTGATTGGAAATGCAGAACCATTCAAATCCACGTAACCAACTTGGCTTCGCCGTCAGCTTTAACTCTTTACCACGTCACGTGTGATCTATTTCCGGATGTGGTGTCCAAGCATGTCACACGCAAACATCGATCTGGGGAAACACATGGTCACTGCCTAGTTTTCCCTCGAAACCCTTGTAAAAACCTGCAAAAAAGTCCATGGTATACTATGGGAAAAGCACATTATGAAAGGGCAACATCTGCTCCCATTGGGCACAAGATACAAACGGTGTTGTGAAGTAGCATTGTCAGGAATGCGCAGCTGATAGGACGGCTAATATCAACGCAGTCCCGCGGCTACAACAACACCCCTCATTGATATATCCCAAGGCCACTGTCAAATAACGTCGGAAACTATACAACCCTGTCGCCAGGTCTTGGTCCATGCCGTTGATGGCTTCTTTGGGTCATGCAAAGGTCATACCTGGTTGGTTCATCCGAGGACCTCCCATGTGGAGTGACCTCTCCTCTTACCTTGACTCACATTTTGGTCACGGCAGCTGCCGCCCATGATGTCAGTTTCACATAGGATTATCTGCCTCCTCTGATCGCTGGTAGCACATCACAACGCCTTCCGAATAAAGCAATAATACGCTGTTTTACAATACGTGTGAATTCAAATGCAGAGGGTTATGTTCCCTATCGAACTCGGGACAATGTGTTACTCAGCCGACACATCAGAACCTTAATCCAACCAGCTGATGTGCTATTCATTTATCGGCTGGTTACCAAGAGCTCCTCCACTCAACTCATGCGAAAATTCGAATCGTCCCAGCTGAGAATGAATATGCCTCCCTTTGCTACCATCGGTTCTGAAAGTGATCTCCCTCAACCCTACCTGATTGCCATCTATGTACGTCTTTCCCCCTGAAAGACGCCACCGCCCTTCATAGCTAACTCAAGCTATTCGAGATAATGTAGTGCACTGTTACCAGTGGAGATCACAGCCAAATCCTGGCCATAGCTGCTGTTAACAAATTTATGTAGCCCTTGATCAGACGCTTTATGGTCACGGATAATATGAAGGAGAAACGCGATTATGGTATTTAAGAGGCACAAAAGCGAGGTGATGTATCTGAACGGCAAGTTTTACATGAAGATTTTGAGCAAGTCCACATAAAAAAATTGCCCAATTCTCAGACGAAAAAAAAAATATAAAAAGTGCTGTATGTCAACTTACCAACACTATCTTGCTTGCACGTATATGCTACCGAACGGTAACGCAACGGCATCTTTGAGTAGGCATGCCAAGTTTTTCAACACAAAGTGCCTTGGTCATTTCGTCATTCCCATAGCTAATGGGGTCCTCGCTCACCATCGTTTCCCCCCCTCTCTTTTTTCACCGAACCCTGCTTACCAGGCACCTTCAGTCACGCCGTATCTCGTCTTTCTAGCGCTAAAATGATGAGCCTTTGATCCGTTTGAATTCTATCCATTTTTTCCGTTATTCCCTCTTGTGCCTTGCCAATGGCTTGCCTCGTCCGAGCAATAGACTTTAACACATGTTTCATAGTCCGTGCCTTGGTGACCAACGCCACCTGTTTTACCAATGAAACTCAAAAAGCTCAGTGTCATCCCACGCACATCACTGAATTGATGCACCAAGCAAGTTCCAAGGTACAGTGGCAGATTGATTGTATGACGTACGCGTATTGAGGGTGAACTCGGACTGTGCGTTATATTCATGCAATGCCGCCACATGGCATGAAGGACTTTTACTGAGAACATACACCATTAGAGTGTGGTCCGGCATGATTGTCCATCAACACAGCAGTGAGGACACGGTATGTCAGCGGATACGGATTACCTGCTGGGACACGACTTGCGTCCATATATTCTTCAATGTTAAATCGGCCCAATGATATAGTACGTTTTTTTCTGCGTTGCTTTACAGGCTTCTGTCTTTTTTCATTTAGCGGGCTGCATACCTAGTTTAAAATACGCGTTTGATCTACGGTCGACAATATTTACAAGATACTGTTTATTCTACACCAGGTACGTACTGAAAAAAATATGGAGCATCTTTAGACAATGTGAAGGCAGACCAAAGAATGTATCAAGTCACCAACGCACCTACGCAAAACATCTAGATCGGCATCGTCCTCTCCCTAACATTTTAGCGATATGGCTAACTAGGAAACTACATGCATGCCAGGCCTGGACGTCTCAGAACGTCCATATCACTTACCCATATTGCTGAATAATACATCTCATTAGCATCTGTTCCTTACATTTCAGTGAAGTATTTACCAATGTCATAAATAAAGCGAATTTTGAGTATTAAAAAAAAAGCCATCCTGACAGGCTTGCTATACTCCAGAACATTCACTGCCTTGAAAACTTGACACATATATCTATTTCATAAGGAACCCTGCATAAGGAACCCTGTCTAAAAAGGTCAGTTTTTCACGAATTTTTTTTTTTTTAGCTACTACTCCTTTACTCGCTTCATATACTGCCATAACACGCTACTTTTACCATCCACAGCAGATCAAGAAAAATGTCAACCATGATACGAGCCATAGCGTAGACTGAATTGTATGCCTCATCTACAATTTCATGGGCCAAAGCACTATATTACCGCATCTTTCATGCAAAATTGTTCGAATATGCTGCTGTCGATTAATAAATAAAATCTTTGGAAAGCGTGTAGAAACATGCGTTGCTTTAAAAGAAATTAAGACTTGATAAATCGAAACACAAAATTCCAAGATCCTCAGGTTAAACGAAAAAAAATAAAAATCTAAGATGCGGTGCCAGCTTCGCCCCAAGTTATGAACTTAATAATCGAGTTTGGTAAAACCCGGTACTTTGTTGCTACACAAGCGTATCATCATAAGAACCAAATTCCCAGCATCATCAATCTCAAAACGGCACAATGTTAGTCAACCTTTTTGTGCTGACATTCATAACAAATTTATTCGGCTACGTGTTGGAACGCGTGGTCACAATACTGTGGACCTTTGTCACAGCTTGGAGTAGCAACAAGACATTTTTCGTGTTTCTGGAGTCGGAATACGAGGAAAAAGTGATTGAATTTTACCGCCTTAACGGACTACACAGCCTCAGGTGGATAACAGTCTCACTTGTAGCGTTCATAACCATTGCAGGATCTACCTTCGTGAGCCCGGCATTGCAGGCGACCCTTAATTCAAGCGAATCGTGGTCGCAGCAAAGCTTGGTCAACCTAAGCTGCACTTTGGATCAATTGAGCTTCGCTAAACAGCACTCATACGACACCATAGGTGAAGAGCAGTCGTTCTATGATAACATGAATAGAATATTCTCAGGTTGTGATAATCAACCGAAGAATTTCCGAGTTAAGCAGGTCGAGACCACACCCATAACAGACACGTTTGGTCTAATCAAGGACAACAATCTCACCTTACTATTTTCACTCACAGCCGGTATAGGAACATTGCCCTACGGCAGTGATCCGGACCACCCTGATAGTAGTCCGCTTGCTAGCTACTCTGGCACAAGTGGCACGAGCTTGAGTGTTATCCCCGCTGATTTTGTACTAGTTAATTCCAATTCAGTGTTAGAGGTGACCACAGCAGCAACGTATGCCTCCTTTGGCAACTTTACCACCACAACTTTGGAGGAACGGGGGTACACCTTGTCTCTGCGTAATGGTTTCTTTCATAGACTGGTAGTGTCTGTCACTACTGTAGTGAACGGCGCTGGGAGACAGCCATACCGACTACAACCATGCAGCTCAGTGCTTTCTGGCTCAGGTAATCAGACCAACAATTATATAGCATTTGCCGATGCCGCGCAACAGCAAAGAGACGTTTTTCACTGCAATGACAGCACGATACAAATTTTTATGGACAATGCAGGCATAAGAACAATAACTTTTATAACGCTAGAAGCCGACGAGGCGGTAGCGCTTAACAACCAGAGCCGAATTGTCCCAACACTCCCATCGTTCAACAATGAAGTATTTTTCCAGATGCAGACTGGGTGACGCAAGCAAATTGGTCCAACTTCTTAACCACACTCCAGCACTCTGAAAGCTTATATTATGTTGGAAGGGATGTCAGGATACTCGATACGACTCCCGCAGCAATAAGAAACGACACTTTGTTCTTCGAGTTGACACACGGTGACCAAACTGTATTTATCAGTGTTTACGAATACATGCCCACGACGTTGTATGACTTGCCCACATTCGTCACCCCTCTGACTGTAGCACTGATGATGGCTATTTGCGCTGTAGTGTTAATCAAAAATCTGCATCCCGATGCTGCAGCCAGGATTGGCAGAGTGGTCTTTTTGTTTGCTGCTATGACTGATAATCAGAACTCTTCTAGACCCAATCTAAGCAAGGTTGGCTTTAACATAGGAGCCATACCCAACCTCAGACACAATGGTTTCTTCAACAATGGCAACTTGATAGGTAGAATAAATTTGGACGACGATCAACCAATCGAAGAAGAAATCAGTCTTCGCGAGGGATTTAAAGGTCTTGAAAACACTACTACCTAACAAGTGAAGATCTGTTTAACGACACGCGGATAATGAACTTTTCTGCTGCCGTTGACACAACTGATGACTTTTACCAGCAAGCGATAAAATTGTACTGTACATTATGAGTTCCATTATTTCAGCCTAACACTAGGATCATCTGCCTTTTTATTACACCTGTCCTTTTATTACAATGTTTTATTAAATAAACTATAATTATGCAAGTTCAAATAACAAACCAGAAAATTCTCTCTTGATGAATGCTGCATAACTACTAATGCAGCTAAGATAATTGTCGTAATAAATAATTTAGACTGAAGAATCGATTTTAAACTAGCATTATCTACCGAATATTGTTCCCAATAATGTTCCCAAATAATTTTCTAACTTTCCCGTTTGGCTCGCAACTGGTACTACTGCTGCATGTATTTGTTATTCGCTCTCCATTGTGACCTAAACTCTGATGGATCAATTTTTTTCATGAGAGCGGCAATAATAATTTATAAAAATTGCTTCACAATTATCATAACGCTTGTCGAATGCAGTTGGTTGGCAAGTCTCTGACTGCTAATGCCTGATAACAGTCAATGATTCTGCAATCATTAATATTTTGTTGAATGTAAATAATCTGACTTTCAAACTGTTAAGAAAATCTCTGTTAGCTCAGTTGGTAGAGCGTTCGGCTTTTAACCGAAATGTCCAGGGTTCGACCCCCTGACAGAGAGATTTTTTATTGGTCAATAAAAATATTATATTCAATTTCCATTGGCTAATATTTTTTATTTCCATCGCTTCCATTGG